CTGTGCACTGGACACCATATGTGAATTGATTGCCCCCCATTCATCCTCAGAGTTCGTACTGCTTGGTGACCTAAATTGGGAAATGCTTAACACCCCGGCCATCCTACAATCCAAACTAGATGCCCTCAATCTCACACAAATGATCAACGAACCTACCAGGTACAACCCTAAATCCGTAAACATGGGTACCCTCATAGATATCATCCTGACTAACTTACCCTCTAAATACACCTCCGCTGTCTTCAACCAGGATCTCAGCGATCACTGCCTTATTGCCTGCGTCCGTAACGGGTCCGCGGTCAAACGACCACCCCTCATCACTGTCAAACGCTCCCTAAAACACTTTAGCGAGCAGGCCTTCCTAATTGACCTGGCCCAGGTATCCTGGATGGATATAGATCTCATTCCGTCAGTAGAGGATGCCTGGTTGTTCTTTAAAAGTAATTTCCTCTCAATCTTAAATAAACATGCCCCATTCAAAAAATACAGAACTAAGAACAGATATAGCCCCTGGTTCTCCTCAGACTTGACTGCCCTTGACCAGCACAAAAACATCCTGTGGCGTACTGCATTAGCATCAAATAGCCCCCGCGATATGCAACTTTTCAGGGAAGTTAGGAACCAATATACACAAGCAGTCAGGAAAGCAAAGGCTAACTTTTTCAAACAGAAATTTGCATCCTGTAGCACTAACTCCAAAAAGTTTTGGGACACTGTAAAGTCCATGGAGAATAAGAGCACTTCCTCCCAACTGCCCACTGCACTGAGGCTAGGAAACACTATCACCACCGATAAATCTACAATAATCGAGAATTTCAACAAGCATTTTGCTACGGCTGGCCATGCTTTCCACCTGGCTACCACTACCCCGGCCACCAACTCTGCACCCTCCGCTGCAACTTGCCCATGCCCCCCCCCGCTTCTCCTTCACACAAATTCAGACAGCTGATGTTCTGAAAGAGCTGCAAAATCTGGACCCCTACAAATCAGCTGGGCTAAACAATCTGGACCCTTTCTTTCTAAAACTAGCCACCGAAATTGTCGCAACCCCTATTACTAGCCTGTTCAACCTCTCTTTCGTCACGTCTGAGATCCCCAGAGATTGGAAAGCTGCCGCGGTCATCCCCCTCTTCAAAGGGGGTGACACTCTAGATCCAAACTGTTACAGACCTATATCCATCCTGCCCTGCCTTTCAAACGTATTTGAAAGCCAAGTTAACAAACAGATCACCGACCATTTCGAATCCCACCGTACCTTCTCCGCTATGCAATCCGGTTTCCGAGCTGGTCATGGGTGCACTTCAGCCACGCTCAAGGTCCTAAACGATATTATAACCGCAATCGATAATAGACAGTACTGTGCAGCAGTCTTCATCGACCTGGCCAAGGCTTTCGACTCTGTCAACCACTGCATTCTTATTGGCAGACTAAATAGCCTTGGTTTCTCAAATGACTGCCTCGCCTGGTTCACCAACTACTTCTCAGATAGAGTTCAATGTGTCAAATCGGAGGGCCTGTTGTCTGGACCTATGGCAGTCTCTATGGGGGTGCCACAGGGTTCAATTCTTGGGCCGACTCTTTTCTCCGTGTATATCAATGATGTCGCTCTTGCTGCTGGTGACTCTCAGATCCACCTCTACGCAGACGACACCATTTTGTATACATCTGGCCCTTCATTGGACACTGTGTTAACAAACCTCCAAACGAGCTTCAATGTCATAAAACACTCCTTCAGTAGCCTCCAACTGCTCTTAAACACTAGTAAAACTAAATGCATGCTCTTCAATCGAACTCTGCTGGCACCTGCCCACCCGACTAGAATCACCACTCTCGACGGGTCTGACCTAGAGTATGTGGACAACTACAAATACCTAGGTGTCTGGTTAGACTGTAAACTCTCCTTCCAGACTCACATTAAGAATCTCCAATCCAAAGTTAAATCTAGAATCGGCTTCCTATTTCGCAACAAAGCCTCCTTCACTCATGCTGCCAAACATGAGCTCGTAAAACGGACTATCCTACCGATCCTTGACTTCGGCGATGTCATTTACAAAATAGCCTCCAACACTCTACTCAGCAAATAGGATGTAGTCTATCACAGTGCCATCCGTTTTGTCTCCAAAGCCCCATACACTACCCACCACTGTGACCTGTACGCTCTTGTTGGCTGGTCCTCACTACATGTTCGTCGTCAAACCCACTGGCTCCAGGCCATCTATAAATCACTGCTAGGCAAATCCCCGCCTTATCTTAGCTCATTGGTCACCATAGCAGCACCCACCTGTAGTCTGCGCTCCAGCAGGTATATCTCACTGGTCATTCCCAAAGCCAACACCTCCTTTGGCCACCATTCCTTCCAGTTCTCTGCTGCCAATGACTGGAACGAATTGCAAAAATCTCTGAAGCTGGAGACTCTTATCTCCCTCACTAACTTTATGCATCAGTTGTCAGAGCACCTTACCGATCACTGCACATGTACACAGCCCATCTGAAATTAGCCCACCCAACTACCTCATCCCTATATTGTTATTTATTTTGCTATTTTGCACCCCAGTATCTCTATTTGCACATAATCTCTTGCACATCTAGCATTCCAGTGTTAATACTAATTGTAATTATTTTGCACTATAGCCTATTTATTGCCTTACCTCCATAACTTGCTACATTTGCACACACTGTATATATATTTTCTGTTGTATTTTTTTTTTGACTTTATGTTTTCTTTACCCCATATGTAACTCTGTGTTGTTGTTTTTATCGCACTGCTTTGCTTTATCTTGGCCAGGTCGCAGTTGTAAATGAGAACTTGTTCTCAACTGGCTTACCTGGTTAAATAAAGGTGAAATAAATAAATCAAATAAATAAATAAAATACCCTGTGTTGTACCCCTGGCCTTTAGGACGAATAGGAGAAGAAAAGGGATTGAAAGAAGAGGGAGGTTGGGAGGGGTGGCAGGCAGGAGGGGGGAGGGGTCTCCAGGGAGTACCAGGGGAGGCAGTGGTGACTGTAGGCCTAGAGAGGACATCTTCCTGTCCCAACTGAATGTCACAACGGATGGGCTGCTATCTGGAGATCTGGATCTGCTCTCCATCTAGGTCTGGGTGTTGGTCTGAGTCCAGGTCTATCTTTTTATTACAACAATTCAGTCAACTTCCTCATCAATGTTGTAACGTAAGTGTGTTAAGTGTGCCCAACTGTGGCTAATGTAATGAAGGATATTTTCTAACCAGACCATAACCAGTATGTTAAGTGGAGTTAATGAATCTCCTCATCTGCTGGACTGTATAGCTGAGGCTGTCTGGGAGAGGACAGGGTTTGTACAGGGGCCTTCACCAGTGGGACGGGATAATGTGGGTGTAATGTTTAAGTCGTCTGGTATACAGAGTGGTGGACTGGGACTAGGAAACTAGCGAGTTACCATCATACAAAAAATCTACTAAAAATCCAATAAAAGGTTATTGGTCATGTACACAGATTTGCAGTTGTTATAGCAGGTGCAGTGAAATGCTTGTTTCTAGCTCCAACAGTGTATGTTTCTAAACAAGAAATCTAAACAAGAAATCAGGAGACAGAATGGGTCCAATTAATAATCTAGTCGATATATTAGTGAGCATGTGTCAGAATCCAGAATATAAATACTGTATGTGGCGTGTATAGACAGTGTATACACAGAACAAAAATATACGCAACATGAAAGTAATTTAAAGTAATCAATAATTTTGACACCTATCATTTTTAGATTTTTTACAACTTTGCATAAGTATAAAATAATATCATTTTCTAAATGTTTTGATCATACAATATAGCTCAGTATTTGTATTATTTATTTTATTAATACTATTTTTTGCTCATCTTTATCAAGGGAGCCAATAATTTTGGATGTGACTGTAGAATGACTTTATCCAGGTTGTGGCATCTGTAGGAGCAAGAAATGTGGAGCCACAGGTAGGCCTGAATCTATTGCCCTGCATGGCTATCATTCTGGAGAGAACAGGCTTTCCCCACCCATAGCCTTAGAGAACCTTTAGCTGATGTCAGGTAATGAAAGTAACAAGTTGTGAAAATGGTCAGATGATTGTTGATTTTTTAAATCTGGTTTTCGATCCTGACAAAAGGTGCTTCAATATTTGGGTTCTCTACACACATTATTTTTTTACATTTTAGTCATTTAGCAGACACTCTTATCCAGAGGGACTTACAGTTATGCGTGCATACATTTTTTAAATATATTTTTTTCATACTGGCCCCCCGTGGGAATCGAACCCACAACCCTGGCGTTGCAAGCGCCGTGCTCTACCAACTGAGCTACACGGGGCACACCTATTAAACATACTCAAATCAGGATGTAGCTTAATTTTATCCACAGATTTTAATAATAATAATATGCCATTTAGCAGACGCTTTAATCCAAAGCGATTTACAGTCATGCGTGCATAAACATTTTTTTGTGTATGGGTGGTCCCGGGGATTGAACCCACTACCTTAGCGTTACAAGCGCCGTGCTCTACCAGCTGAGCTAGAGAGGACCATTTTGTTTGAAAAGCTGTTTATGTAGAGACTACTAGAGCAAGAGAAGTGTCCTGTGTATTATTGCACAGAATCCTCATGTAAAATGTACGATGGCACGTACTGTACTAAGTGGCCCTAGAAAATAAGACTGCTAGAATAGGCCAGGACTTGTGGAGGAAACAATTTGATCACTGTTCTGAGTCAATGCTGACCTCTACTGGTATGACTGCTAACTGTCCTATTCGTCTTCCTTACAGGGCTCACAAGCTCAATGTAAGTATAGCCTTTTCCACTTCAAGAATTTATGAAAGATAAATCTGAAGTAAATATATTATCTCAATAGATGATGACTGATTTGAAGTATACTTTATTTTAAAGTTCCAGAAATGTAGTCAAGGTCATAATTGTTTTTCAAACAGGTACAGTATTTAATGTGCAAATAAGTTCTGAGTTGGTTTCCCTCAATCTGGAACTTTCCTTCCATTTTAGGCACTTCCGGTATTGATTTCAAAGGCACTGCAACAGCAACAGAGATTACCGTTCAGGTACTTGCCAACTGCAACGTGAGCACTGGCAATACTTCAGTTTTCTCCAACTCATCTACGGCCATCCTGCCTGGACTGTCTCCTGGGTCCATACACAGTGTGTATGTCCTGTGTAATGATTACCCAAAATTCAACTCTTGCAGGGACTTCATAACAAGTAAGTATCTCACTCTAAGGGCTGGTTTTGACCCAGATTAAGCCTGGTCCTGGAATGAAAATAACTTTCAGTATTGATCCTGACAAGCTCTCCTTAAACAACTAGTTTAATTACTGTGAGAACATCAACATATTACTTGTTCGCATCCAAGAACATGTGAAAAGTTGCCATGTCTGTTGCAGTTTTCATGCATTTCACATTGAATGGCTCTCATTTAGGCTCACTTGATAATATTGGACTTGATTCAGTTGAAATTCTGTATCTTTTCCCAAATGCCCCTCTCTTGCACGCACAAAGCCCACAATCATCAGGAAACTTACTGTCTCTGAAATCAGAACATCATCTGTGTCTCTGAGCTGGACTGAACCAGAGGGAAACAGCTCCTTCTATAGAGTAGAGTGGACTGATGGCAGTAAAACTATTAATACAACTACACATGAGACAGCCTTCAACATCAATGAGCTGACTGCTGGAGTTTGGTACACATTCAGAGTCACTGCAGTGGCTGAAGATAACATGACTGAAGGAGTTGCTTATGTAACAAATCAAGCCACAAGTAAGTCTCACTGAAAGTTGCTTTATGCTGACTTGTTTGCCTCAAACAGAGCTGGAGACTAACCTCAAACATCAGACGACTCTTCTTCAAACATCAGATGACTCTTCTCTGACGTTCATCCCTTTCTCTATTGTTCCTGTCACCGACATCCTTCTCTTTCGCTCCCCTCTTTCTCCCCTTCTCCTTCTCTCCCCCTCCTTTACTCCTTCTATTTCACAAACAGAACCTGCTGTCATCGCACCCCCTACTGTCATTCAGACCACCACGTCGCTTTCTCTGAGCTGGACCAAGCCTACAGGAGAGGCGGCAGGCTACAGGGTGGAGTGGCAAAACGGAGGAACAGTGATGAGACAACTTACATCCACAACCTCTGCCATCATAGAGGGCCTGACCCCAGGGACCCAGTACACACTCCAGGTCTTTGCCATCGCTCAGGACAACTCAACAGCAGGCGACCCTCGCACAGTATACGTATACACAAGTACGGCTAAAGCTTAATGATGCCGAAATGGTCTATTACTAAATGTAAAATGATTTAGTTGAATATTAACATACTATATAGAGTACACTAAATACCAAATACACTGACTGTATAAAACATGCTCTTTCCATGACATAGACTGACCAGGTGAATCCAGGTGAAAGCTATGATCCCTTATTGATGTCACTTGTTAAATTCACTTCAATCAGTGTAGATGAAGGGGAGAAGACAGGTTAAAGAAGGATTTTTAAGCCTTGAGACATGGATTGTGTATGTGTGCCATTCAGAGGGTGAATGGGCAAGACAAAATATTTAAGTGCCTTTGACCAGGGTATGGTAGTAGGTGCCAGGTGCGCTGGTTTTTCACGCTCAACAGTTTCCAGAGTGTATCAAGAATGGTCCACCACACAAAGGACATCCAGCCAATGACAACTGTGGGAAGCATTAGAGTCAAAATGGGCCCGCATCCCCGTGGAACGCTTGACACCTTGTAGAGTCCATGCCGACGAATTGAGGCTGTTCTGAGGGCAAAAGGGGGTGCAACTCAATATTAGGAAGGTGTTCCTAATTCTTTGTACGCTCAGTGTATATTTACTTTATCTTGGTTAATAAGTAGAGCTAAATGTTTTTTTTCTGACCCCTTTTCCTCCATTTTGCTCTACAGAGCCCAGAGATGTCGACAACCTCAATGTGATTGGATCCACAACATCGTCTGTCTATCTGAGCTGGACTCAATCAGAGGGAAACAGTTCATTCTATAGAGTAGAATGGACTGATGGCAGTGACATTGGCAGTAAGAATACCACAGAAACCTCCACTACCATCACTGGGCTGACTCCTGGAGTGCAGTACAACTTCACAGTCACTGCAGTGGCTGGAGATAACACAACTGTAGGACAAGGCAGTGAAACAACCGCTTTTACAAGTAAGTCCTCTTTCAAGTTGAGTATTGAATGACTCAAAGGATTTGGATACACAAGGATTTGGATACACAGGTAAGGCGAATATGTAGTTGTCGAAAATGACTAAACAATTTATTGGTTGTGGACTAGCCTATCCATAGACGGTAACTAACGTTAGCGTCTATTCAATAAGGTATCTTCCATCCGGAGGGATTTTGTTGAGAGCCCCGACGCTCGGTCTGAACTTTAACATGTATCGCTTGCGGTACGGTTTTGGAAACATAAGGACCTTATCTTTCATATTAGCGAGAAATAATAAAAATATAATAAAAATGTTGAATTACTACACACCTTTATAGGGTAAGGGTTCCCACACGGCCATATTTCCTTCTTACAGTGCTTGTTTACGGAAGACAGACTGCTCCGAACACCTGTGTGTAACGGATGGAAGGATGCTAGAAAAGTGTTGTCGGCTGCAACTGGTGTTAAACCCGGTTAAAAAGGTGTATATTTTGCATTTGTAAAATAATTTTGATGTGATATGAAAGTAAAGGTCTTTATGTTTCTAGAACCGTACCGCAACATTTCTGAAATCAGACCTGTTGTAAAACTGTGCTCGCGTGATCAAGCATTTAAACTCTGCCTGGAAATCACCCTCCATTCACCTTTTATGGTGACAATAACGTACTTTATTTGCTGTATAATAACTATTGGCATTCGGCAACGACAGTTTCTTAAAGAAAGAGAAATGGCAATTTTGATCACATTTCTGTAGAGCTATATTTTGCAGTGACTTTTTCAAACTGAACATTCATGCTGCATATAGTGAGTGCCTGTCCACACATTCTGCAAGATTTATTGTATATTCTAAACAATTTAAAAGTAGACTAAATGCTACAGCCCACACTTTGATGCAAAAGACGAATTGTTGTTCAATATTTAGTTTATCAGTAGTTTATTGGGTTTCTATGTCCTGCCTTATCAAATCAAATCAATAAAATAAAATAAAATTGTATTTGTCACATGTGCCGAATACAACAGGTGTAGACCATAGAATGAAATGCTTACTTACAAGCCCTTAACCAACAATGCAGCTTGTAAGAAAAATAAGTGTTAAGTAAAAAAAATAAAAAAATAAGATAAATAAAATAGAAATAACAAATAAATAAAGAGCAGCAGTAAAATAACAGTAGCGAAGCTATATACAGGGGATACCGGTACAGAGTCAATGTGCGGGGGCACCGGTTAGTCAAGGTAATTGAGGTAATATGTACATGTAGGTAGAGTTAAAGTGACTATGCATAGATAATAAACAGAGAGTCGCAAAAGCGGGGGACAATGCAAATAGTCCGGGTAGCCATTTGATTAATTGTTCAGCAGTCTTATGGCTTGAGGGTAGAAGCTGTTAAGAAGCCTTTTGGACCTAGACTTGGTGCTCCGGTAACGCTTGCCGTGAGGTAGCAGAGAGAACAGTCTATGACTAGTGTGGCTGGAGTCTTTGACAATTTTTAGGGCCTTCCTCTGACACCACCTGGTATAGCGGTCCTGGATGGCAGGAAGCTTGGCCCCAGTGATGTACTGGGCCATACGCACTACCGTCTGTAGCGCCTTGCGGTCGGAGGCCGAGCAGTTGCCATACCAGGCAGTGATGCAACCAGTCAGGATGCTCTCGATGGTGCAGCTGTATAACTTTTTGAGGATCTGAAGACCCATGCCAAATCTTTTCAGGTCCTGAGGGGGAATAGGCTTTGTTGTGCCCTCTTCATGATTGTCTTGGTGTGTTTGGACCATGATAGTTTGTTGGTGATGTGGACACCAAGGAACTTGAAGCTCTCAACCTGCTCCACTACAGCCCCGTCGATGAGAATGGGCCGTGCTCGGTCCTCCTTTTCCTGTAGTCCACAATCATCTCCTTTGTCTTGATCACGTTGAGGGAGAGGTTGTTATCCTGGCACCACACGGCCAGGTCTCTGACCTCCTCCCTATAGGCTGTCTTATCATTGTCAGTGATCAGGCATACCACTGTTGTGTCGTCGTCAAACTTAATGATGGTGTTGGAGTCATGCCTGACCTTGCAGTCATGGGTGAACAGGGAATACAGGAGGGGACTGAAACGCACCCCTGAGGGGGCCCCATGTTGAGGATCAGTGTGGCAGAAGTGTTGTTACCTACCCTTACCACCTGGGGGCGGCCCGTCCAGGATCCAGTTGCAGAGGGAGGTGTTTAGTCCCAGGGTCCTTAGTGATGGGCTATGTGGGCACTATGGTGTGAACGCTGAGCTGTAGTCAATGAACAGCATTCTCACGTAGATGTTCCTTTTGTCCAGGTGGGAAAGGGCAGTGTGGAGTGCAATAGAGATTGCATAATCTGTGGATCTGTTGGGGCGGTATGCAAATTGTAGTGGGTCTAGGGTTTCTGGGATAATGGTGTTGATGTGAGCCATGACCAGCCTTTCAAAGCACTTCATGGCTACAGACGTGAGTGCTACGGTTCGTTAGTCATTTAGGCAGGTTATCTTAGTGTTCTTGGGCACAGGGACTATGGTGGTCTGCTTGAAACATGTTGGTATTACAGACTCAGTCAGGGACAGGTTGAAAATGTCAGTGAAGTCACTTGCCAGTTGGTCAGCGCATGCTCGGAGTACACGTCCTGGTAATCCGTCTGGCCCTGCGGCCTTGTGAATGTTGACCTGTTAAAAGGTCTTACTCACATCAGCTACGGAGAGCGTGATCACACAGTCGTCCGGAACAGCTAATGCTCTCACGAATGCTTCAGTGTTGCTTGCCTCGAAGCGAGCATAGAAGTAATTTAGCTCGTCTGGTAGGCTTGTGTCACTGGGCAGCTCGCGGCCGTGCTTTCCTTTGTAGTTTGTAAAAGCCCCGCCTTAGTATAGGCTCTAAGACTAAATAGGCAATGATGTCGCGCTCCTATCGCACAGCAATACTGTTGCCTACCCATACTGTCAAAATGTGTACATAAGCTACTGGTCTATTTACTGTGTTGGCAGAATGTTTTAATCTTTAGCAGTAACTTATGCTGTATCTGGAAAAGGACTGTGTCCGTTTCTGAAAGAGAAAACAATGGTAAATAGTTGTGGACCTGTCAGCAGAAAGTTTCACTTCAATAATGTTTTGCATCTGCTTTTCCCCCAACCTAAATATGATGGACTGTACGTGAATTCTGAAACATTGTCTAGGTCAGGCTACAAAAAAAAATTAATTTACAGTAATTACCATAGCATACAATGCATTCGGAAAGTATTCAGACCCCTTGATTTTTTCCACATTTTGTTATGTTGCAGCCTTATTGTAAAATTGATTAAATAAATATGTTCCCTCATTAATGTACACACAATACCCCATAATGACAAAGTGAAAACAGGTTTTTAGAATGTTTTTCAAATGTATTAAAAATAAAAACAGAAATACCTTATTTACATAAATATTCAGACCCTTTGCTATGAGACTTTAAAATGAGCTCAGGTGCATCCTGTTTCCATTGATCATCCTTGAGATGTTTCTACAACTTGATTGGAGTCCACCTGTGGTAAATTCAATTGATTGGACATTATTTGAAAAGGCACACATCTGTCTATATAAGGTCCCACAGTTGACAGTGCATGTCAGAGCAAAAACCAAGCCATGAGGTCGACAGAATTGTCCGTAGAGCTCTGAGACACAATTGTGTCGAGGTACAGATCTGGGGAAGGGTACCAAAACATTTCTGCAGCATTAAAGGTCCCCAAGAACACAGTGGCCTCCATCATTCTTAAATGGAAGAAGTTTGGAACCACCAAGACTCTTCCTAGAGCTGGCTGCCTGGCCAAACTGACCAATCAGGGAGAAGGGCCTTGGTCAGGGAGGTGACCAAGAACCCAATGGTCACTCTGACAGAGCTCCAGAGTTCCTCTGTGGAGATGGGAGAACCTTCCAGAATGACAACCAACCTGCAGCACTCCACCAATCAGGCCTTTATGCTAGAGTGGCCAGACGGAAGCCACACCTCAGTAAAAGTCACATGACAGCCCGCTTGGAGTTTGCCAAAAGGCACCTAAAATACTCCATGAGAAACAAGATTCTCTGGTCTGATGAAACCTACAATGAACTGTTTGGCCTGAATGCCAAGCATCACGTCTGGAGGAAACCTGACACCATCCCTACGGTGAAGCATGGTGGTGGCAGTTTAATGCTGTGGGGATGTTTTTCAGCAGCAGAGACTGGGAGACTAGTCAGGATCGAGGGAAAGATGAACCGAGCAAAGTACAGAGAGCTCCGTGGAGAAAACCTGCTCCAGAGCTCTGGACCTCAGACTGGGACGAAGGTTCACCTTCCAACAGGACAACGACCCTAAGCACACAGCCAAGACAACGAAGGAGTGGCTTCGGGACAAGTCTCTGAATGTCCTTGAGTAGCCCAGCTAGAGCCTGGGCTTGAACCCGATCTAACATCTCTGGAGAGACCTGAAAATAGCTGTGCAGCGACACTCCCCATCCAACCTGACAGAGCTTGAGAGGATCTGCAGAGAAGAATGGGAGAAACTCTTAACCTGTTTTTGCTTTGTCATTATGGGATATTGTTGAGGGAAAAAAACTCAAATTAATCCGTTTTAGAATAAGGCTGTAACATAACAAAATGTGGAAAAAGTCAAGGGGTCAGAATACCTATGGGATTGCAAAACTTGAAATACATATTTCCTATCTATTTACTAGACTACTAGGCCCAATTAAATGAGAGCTGTGCATGGTAGTATGCCTACTTTGGGAATATGAACCAATCACGGCCAGAAACGGTGAGGTATTTATTCTGCAATGGTTATGAAAATAAAATAGGAAAAAGATTCCTATGTCTAATTATTTTATATTCTAAAAATAAAACACCGATTTTTGCTCTTCTCACTAATGACAACTGGCTGAATTCTTGTTAATATGTTTTCCTGTTTTTTTTATAAGCTTTTCATCATACGCCATTTTCACAAAATAATTACTTACCAGCTTGCAATACAATATTTCAACTACTACCAAATGTGCGTACACATGGTATAACGTTTGGGGGGAGGTGAGTACATTCTCACGTCAAGCGACATTTTTATAAATGCCAACTTTTGCGTGAAAACTGGTGCACGCACATTTTGTGGTATATTTTGTACGTATTCACTGTTTATACATTAAGGAGGAACGGTAGGCTCGCCTATACTCATTAAGAGTACATTCTTGGGCTAAATGTGACCTTGTTTTTGTCTTTTCTATACAGTCTATATTTCATTCATTGCAATGAACCTTCTCAATTGTGCCCTGACAGAGCCTGTACAACCTGTGAACATTGTGACTATGGGACGAGGAACCAGTGAGCTGAATGTGACCTGGACCTTGCCTGGAGGGAGCGTGGACCAATACAACGTGAATATCTCTAATGCTGCTTTAAGCTATACATCCAGCCAAACCACACAGACCACAATGGCCAGCTTCACTGGGCTACAGTCAGGGATGCTCTATGAGGTCACAGTGACTGCTGTAGCTGGACCCTTCAGTAACCAGTCTGCTAGGGGCCAGTTAGCCACTGGTAAGTCATGGCTAATGGTGGCTATACTATGCATTTATTGTAGAGTTTCTGAAGGCTTCATAGTAGTTTGTCGTTTCTGAGAGTTTGTATGAGAGAGTATGAGAAGGTTCTCTCTGTGTTTCAGGAAAAGCAAATGGACTTTGTGTGTGTTTGTGTGAATGTGAATTTGTTTTTGCAACTTTCCTAACATCTCTCGTATTTCTCCACCACAGTGCCCAACCCACCTGGACCCCTCAACATCACAGAGAGGACAACCAGCTCCCTCTCTGTACAATGGACAACCCCAGGTCTAATGACTGGAGCTCCAGCCATCTCCTATAACATTAGCTACCAGTCCTACTGGGACTGGGATTACAGCAAGCACCCAGTCTACCTCGAATCTCAGCCGTAACCTGTGCTCTCTGTCCTCTGGAACGTTCTACACCATCACAGTGATAACCGTGGGACCACAGGATCTGGGAAGCGCCCCTGTTAATACATCTGGATATACTTGTAAGTACACTTGTAACAACTACATATTGTGCTTAGGGTGACATTTTTGACGATGTGAAATTGTTGCAGAAGTCTTCTGAATTCTTTCCAATACTATGCACGGTTGATGCATGGTCCTGTATGGATCAGTTGGTAGAGCATGGCGCTTGCACTCCTAGGGTTGTGGGTTCGATTCCCGGGGCCACCCATACATAAAATGTATGCACACTTGACTGTAAGTCGCTTTGGATTAATGCGTCTGCTAAATGGCATATACGCTATTATTTATATTATATATTATTTGAAATACTTCAGATTAAATGCCTTACCAAATGTCATATCCTATTAAGATCATTGATTAAGGTTACTTTTTTCTCCTAGTGCCCAAACCAGTGGTGAACCTCACAGCGAGCCCGTTGTCCACCTCCTCAGTGAAGCTACAGTGGACTGACCCTGTGGATGTTAAGTCCTACTACTCCTACAGAGTCCAGTACAGCAACACTACAGGCCCTGTTGAAGAGGAAACAGTCAATACGAACTTCACGGACGTCCCTGGCCTAGAACCTGGGACTGGCTATAACTTCACGGTTACAACGGTAGCAGCAGCGGGAAGCGACGGAATTCCAGAAAACACGTTCAGCTACACAAGTAAGCCAATATTCTAAACTTCCAAAGGTATTCATAGAGTAATCCAAGAGTAATGCAAGGGTAATCCAAGTGCACTCTAGTCATCCAGCAAACTGCAGTTACTCTTGCATAGTTAAGAGGCGTATAACACCGGCTGCTAAATGATCCTGTTTTACAGATTATATTAATACAATATCTGCCCTTTTTGCCATTCAGAACCCAAGGCGGTCAGTAACCTCATGATCGAGGATCTGAACACAACCGCTATCAGGCTTTCCTGGTCCAAACAGGATGACCACAAACCCACCTACTCCTATCTGGTGACCGTCTCCAAGAGTGGTTCTATGGTTGAGAACGTATCAACCACGGTCGAGAGCTACACCTTCACCCATCTCCAGCCTGGGGACAGTTACACCTTCTCTGTGGTCACGGTCGTCCAGGGGATTAAGTCTGACTCAGTAGGGACGTCTAGCTACACAAGTACGGTTCCAAAGACGCCCCTCCCCCTCATCCCTTTCTCACTTCCCCTTCTTTACATAGCAAAGTTGATTTAATATAAGATGGCTGACAGTGCGTGTTTCACATCTAAACCAAATTAAAGACTAATTTTCATAATAAACATTTACCACAACACTTTTAAGTTCTCTATAACTCTAGACTAAAATTTGAAATGTTAAAGGTCCAATGCAGCTGTTTTTATCTCGATAGCAAATCATTTCTGGGTAACAATGAAGTACCTTACTCTGATTGTTTCAAAATGGTCAAAAAGAAACAAAAATTGCTTCTATGCAACGAGCAAGTTATCAAGCAAGAATTTTGCTAGGACTGTCTGGGAGTGGTTTGAGTGGGGAGGGGAAAACAGAGGTTTGTAACTATCTTTCTTATTGGTCTATTAACTAATTTACCACCTGGTGATGTCACCAGGTAGGCCAAAACTCCATCTCACCAAAACATGCTGAATTTTCTGGCGCTATGTTCAAACAGCTCTTACTCTAAAAGGGCATTATCATAATTTTGACAATTTAACAGTATTATTCCAACCTCAGTGTGGAAATATATATAAAACACAGGAAAATCACGTTTTTGACTGCACTGGGCCTTTAATGTAATGTTTTTGTTGTATCCAACATTTAGCACCTGGGGTGGTGACAAACATCGCCGCGATAGGAACAACAACCACAATGAATGTGACATGGGATGCCCCTGTGGGACAGGTGGACTCCTACACCGTCACAATCTACAATGACAACGTGATGGAAAACAACCTCACCATCTCCAATGACTCTCTAGAAGTAGTGTTCCAGAACCTGAAACCAGGCAAAGTCTATGTTGTCAGAGTGGTCACCAACAGTGGACCGCTCACTGATGCATCACTGAATGTTACAAATGCAACGTGTAAGTCAGTCAATGTTTTAGTAAAGTCCAACTTTCCAGATGTACTCCATTTGTTTAGTTGCTGCTGCTGTAAAGATAATTACATATTTTTCTGAAGAGCATATACAATTACAGAGACATGATCATAATCTAGATGGAATGTTCTCTAATGTGGCGCAGTGGTCTAAGGCACTGCATCGCAGTGCTAGCTGTGCCACTAGAGATCCTGGTTCGAGTCCAGGCTCTGTCGCTGCCGGCCGAGACCCAGAGACCCATGGGCGGCGCACAATTGGTCCAGCGTCGTCCAAGGTAGGGGAGGGTTTGGCCGGCAGGAATGTGGGTTCGTTTCCCACGGGGGGCCAGTATGAAGAAAAAAAAAGAAAAAAGAAAACAAAAACACATGTATGCATTCACTGCTAAATGACTAAAAATGTTTAAAAAATGCCTGAATCACTCCACCTGCAATATCCTCCATAACTAAAGTCTCCCTGGTTTGTTCCCAGATCCCAACCCTCCTGGAACCCAGACGGTGGAGGACCAGACCACTGGTTCCATCAACATCAGCTGGGCCCGGCCCCTGGACATGGACCTGGGTCAGTACTGGTTCTCTGTGTTCCATCTGGACCAGCAGAACCTGACAGAACACAACTGGATCCTCCTGGAGAACCTCCAGTCTGGAACACTCTATAACATCGCTGTGGTAACCGTAGGGCCGTTGGACTACCAGAGCACAGTGGTGACGACAACCAGCTATACCAGTGAGTGACTACTGAACACACACAACTACACAGTATCTACACATGCATGTACCTGCAGCACATGGGGATGTGTGAAACTCACTTCTCAGCCTGAAGTGTCCCCACTTGCGCCGCCGAATAGCTAGTCCGTTACATACACACACTCGTATGTACGCACACACAGATTGAACATGTTCATAAATTATCTTTGCTGTTCGTTTGTCCCAGGGCCCGACTCTGTGAGCGGGCTGACAGAGGCAGGAATCACCCCCACCGATGTGACTCTAGTCTGGGATCAGCCGGAGAACAAAGCAGACTACTCCTTCAAGGTGGAGGTAACCTACCCCAACGGGTCCCTTTTCATCTCCGTCACTGTCAACAACACCACGACAACTGTCACCGGACTACAGTCGGGGAGCAACTACACCTTTACCGTGACAACGCTCACAGAGGACGGCACCATGGCAACCCCTGTGAAAGTGTTCTATTACACAAGTATGTTCCCATGGCAATAACAATTCTCAATGTCATTTTAAGAGTTATTTATCTTTCTAAATTGGTGTCAATAAGAGTACATATTAGGGACCAGCATATGTTGAACAGTATTCACCTCTTTGTATTACTCAAGTCAAACCGAAGATCCTTTGTATCCAGGACCATATCCCATTAGTGGGTTGGTGGCCCCGACAGTAAACACAACTGCTGTACATCTGACCTGGACCAAGCCACCTCAGTACCAGAGTGGTTACACATACCGTATCCAGACCGAGGGGTGCGTGTCTACTCCCACAAACCACACAGTGACAGGAGAGGTGGCCGTCATTACAGAACTCACACCAGGAACCAACTGCACCTTCAGTGTTTCCGTCAAGGCACAGGACGGTATAGAGGGAGGCACCGTCTCAATCTTTCAGTACACAGGTGAGACCTCCTTCCTTTTCACCTACAGGATGGTCAAAAATGATTGGCACCGTTGATAAATATGAGCAAAAAAGGCTATATAAAAATTATATGCTCAAAGAAAAGCGAGGGAAATTAAAATTGAAATTATGTTATTTTACAATACAATTGCTTAGAGAACGTTTTTGAAAAATTCTCGAAAAGATGGTTGTCAAAATTATAGGCAACCCTAAATATTCTAATAAATAAAATCAAACAAAATAAATCTGCATGGCTTCCTGTTTCACTGGGATATAATAACATTTGGTAATACGCATGGAATATCCCTTTGTCATCCATCTCCATTGGAAAAGGCAAACGGCTCACAAATGAAAGAGACAAATGGTTGTTGACCTTCATAAATCAGGCAATGGGTACAAGAAAATCACAAAAATATATAAATATGTACCACTTACCACTATTAGGGCAACAATGAATTAGTTAAAACCACTGGAACAGTGAAAAAATTGCCTGGTATTGGACACAAGTGTATCTTGTCCCCATGCACAGTGAGGAAGAATTACAGAACTTAGTCACATCTTTGGGTCACCAAGTCTCCAAATCTACAATTAGACACCACCTCCATGCCAATAGGCTATTTGGAAGGGTTGCCAGAAAAAAGCCTTTATTGAGAGCAACCAACAAATGTAAACACCTGGAGTTTGGTAAATAGCATTGGCACTTGGAATGGAACCAGTGCAAAGAGCTCTTTGGCCATGCACACCAGTGGTGAGTTTGTCCTCGAAAGAAGGATGTATATACAGAAAATAACCTCATGCCTACTGTAAAATATGGTGGTGCATCTTTGATGTTATTGGCAGGTTTTGGTTCCACTGATCCTGGGGCCCTTGTTAAGGTCAACGGCATCACATACTCTACCAAGTAACAGGTCATTTTAGCCAAATACCTGGTTGCCTTTGCCAGGAAGCTGAAACTTAGCCGTAAGTGGATCTTCAGCAAGACAATAACCCCAAGCACACATCAAAATCCACAAAGAAATGGTTAATTGACAACAAAAATAACATTTAGCAGTTTCCGGACTTGAACCCCATTGAAAACCTGTGGTTTGAATTGAACCGAAGAATATCAAGGATCTGTAAAGATTCTGTATGGAGGAATGGTCTAAGATCCCTCTAAATGCTGTTATCCTCACAAGGGGAGGGTGCCAGAGTATTGAAAACAAGGTTGGCAATAAATTTGACACCTACAGTATCTTTTAGTTTTTTTGTATTACTTCCCAAAAAAATCCCTTTCTCTAAGCAATTGTATTAGTATAAATTCAAATGTTTTGGAGCATACAATATAGCTTAGTATTTGTATTATTTGTTTTATACAGTCTTTTTTAAATAAATGTGTCTCTGGATGACACATAATGTTTGTTTTCAACATTAGGGCTTTTTTCCTAAAGAAGTTAAATCCGCTTTGTGTTTTGTTTCCTTGCCACGATACTAATGAGTATCGCTATACTGGTATTGTCCCGGCCCTAGTAACCCCCGGAGTAAGTGGCCTTGCACGGGTCTGAGACCCTCCACAAAAACATTATTGTGACAACAGTGCCCCTATATCAGCCATTGCCGGAGCCCCCTGTGCCCGTAAGTAGTTGTTGGTGGCGGAGTCGAGGGAACGAGTAGGCTTGGGCACAACCATGCTATTATCCCACACACAGTCTCTGTGGTTCGTATGAACCCCCGAAATGAGCTGTCTGTCTCCAGCTCAACGCTTTTCATTCCTGTGAATGATATTCAATTCCGAATCGCCCCTGTCTGTTAACACAGAAGGGGTCAGTTTTTCAGAGCAGTCTGTCCCATTCTCAGCTAGGTTACAAGGCGCTCTGTCGCCAGTACCTATGACTGGTCGGTAGGGTAACCTCCATTATAACTTTTTTTCTTTGGGTCTATGTTTAATGCGTATGGTCCAGCACTGGGTGCCAGCCGGTTACCGGAATACATCTTACTTCCTAAACCGAATGAGGCTCGTTGTGACAACAGTTCCCCTAAGTAGCACTGTCAATCGGGGTACGTCACTGATCACCGGAGCCCTTGTACCTAGAGTGTACCTGTTTTTTCAACCCTGAGGTCCACAGTATTCACGAGTGTCATAAGTGTTGTGTCTCCAGCATGTGAGTTAAATGAAAAGTGCCCCTTCTCCACGTTCAGAATAACACGTTGCACTGAGGATTGGTGTGGTCTTGTGTCGTTCCTATTTGTTTACTGATTCCCCTAGAGGGCTGTATACGTATACGTGGCACGCGTTTGAGCTTTGGTGCCAAAATAAAGGAATTGTTCCTATTCAAAGTTCTCTGGGGGACATTTTAATGTTCCTACAGGAGCATTTTGAGCAGGGTGCTTCATTCTCCACTTTGAAAGTGTATATGGCGGCTATTTCAGCGTGTCATGTAGGAATTGATGGCGCCAGTCCAGAGGCTCATCCCCTGGCGGTGCGGTTCCTAAAAGGTGTGTGCCGTCTCAGACGGGTCTCTAAACCTATTGCGCCCATTTGGGATTTAGCTTTAGTTTTGGATGCTGTGGGTTAGTCCCCTTTGACCCACTGGAGTCTGTGGATCTGAAGATCTTCTCCTACAAGACCACCTTGCTTGTGGCTTTGGCCTCGGCTAAACGCGTTTAGGTTCTCCACACGTTATCCATACACACTTCCTGTACTCATTTCACCCCTGGCGACTCAAAGGTGACGTTACGTCTGAATGCAGCCTTCGTCCCGAGATCCTTTTGCTTCTGAAGAGCAACAGAGGTTACATGCCCTCTTTCCAGTATGAGCTTTATACGCGTACCTTGGGCGGACCCAGGATATCCGGTGACCAGCTTTTTGTCTCTTTTGCTAATCCAGCTGGCAGCAGGGCGCTTTCTAAACAGCATTTCTCCCACTCGATTGTGGAGGCTATCTCCCTGGCATATAGCAGCAAGGGGCACTCCACCAGGCGTCTGGCAGTGTCTTGGGTGTTATTTAAAGGGTTGACTGTAGTGGATATTTGTGCTGCGGATAGTTGGGCATCACCACACACTTTTTTTAGGTTTTATTGCTTGGATGTCACTGCTCCCAGTGTAGCCCACAGCGTGCTTACAGCTGGGACAGGGTCATCAGGCAGCGCGCAATGTGCGCAATACCCAATACCTAACTTCGCCCCCATCTCTGTTCCTCTCTACCAGAGCCTGAATCTGTCCAGCCATCCATCTCCAACAACGGTACCACCAGTACCATGGTGGTGAGCTGGGCGGCACCACCAGGGAATGTGGGGCAGTATGTGGTCCATCTGAACAGCACTGACCAAGTCTTTACCCCCGTATGGCTGAATTCCAACCAGCAGACACACACCTTCATGTACCTGTTAGCTGGGAGACAGTACACAGCCGTGGTGACCACTATCAGTGGGCCCTTCGATGAAACCTCAGGACCTGTAACTACAGCAACTCGTGAGTATAAGGGAGGAGCCAAGGGGAAAAGGGCCCAGAGTTCTACTTACAGTAGCATGCCTCCTTTGTCTGTCCGAGTTCATTCATTTGTTTTAACTGTTTAGTCTAAGACAAAGAACAATGTTTATTTCGCACCAGTCCAGAGTTAGCTTTCAGGATACTTTGCGCAAGGACATTCAATTCACGGATGTTATTTACAACTCAATATAAATTGCTGTCAATTGTCTCTCTCAGAACCCAACCCGCCTGGGCCCATCGTGATCCTGGAGAAGACTACTAGTTCCATCACTGTGGAGTGGGGTGAAGCTCCTCTGATGGCCAACACCACCTTCAGTTACCTAGTGAAGTACCTGTCAACGCAGACAGACGAAAAGACAGTCAATACCACAAATACAAGTCACACACTGCCAAGCCTTTCCTCTGGAACACCCTACAATATCTCTGTGGTTACAGTGGGAGTGCTATGGTTCCACAGTGAGGAGGTCTGGAGCAGTTTGGTCACAACCAGTGAGTGTCAACACACACACACACACACACGTACATACACATGCGAGCATTCGAAAACCCACACACACAATCATTTCCAAACACATACACCCAAATACAATCCTGAGACTTTTGTTTTCTGTATTCATAACTATTGCTTTACTAACCTCTCTATGCTGTCTTTGATTGAATTTCCAAGGACCAGAGAGTGTCCAGTCACTCAGTGCAGTGACAGCAGAGGAGCACGTAACATTGACCTGGTCCAAGCCTGTGGGTCACAAACCAGGCTACAGCTACAGAGTGACCTGGACAAACTCCACTGGGTTCATCATCAGTAATACGACCACAGCTATGGAAAGCCTGCTCATCAATGGATTGGTCCCGGGTAGTCTGTATAACTTCGCTGTAACAATACAGACAGATGATGGAACAGAGGGCGCTCCAGTCTCAACCTCCAGCTGCACCAGTAAGATAATAGGATGTAGACTACCATACTGTACCACCAGTGTGTGATGCATTAAGAATGCATATAGGGATTTATAAAGGACGTACTATCGCAACTATCATCTACAGACACTGATCCAGATAGGGATCCTATTTTAGATGTATTATTGAACTGAGTTTTGGTCTCTTGTAAATAGGATTTTTGAACTGAGTTTTGATCTCTTGTAAATAAAAATGTCATTCAGCCATGGTCTGCACATTTTCTAGTAATACAATCAAACCTGAAACCTGAAAACCTCTCTCTCTCCCTCACTGTGCCATAGATGCCAGCCCTGTGTCCAACTTGAAGTGTTACTCTCCTAACGACCCCGACGCCAAGCTGACTCTGTCCTGGACCAAACCCAAAGGACTGAACCAGGGCTTTCAGATCACTGCTTATGAAACCATCCAACTCCCCCAGGGCCAGGTGAGGCTACACAATGTATTTCTCAAACAGTACAGTACATATTGGTCACCGAATCAAAAAATTTATTGATTGAATGAATGACTGAACGATTGCTTGATTAATTTATTAATTGATTGGTTAAGGTACACAATGAGACAAGTGGCGACTGTAACCCAGCCTGTGGTCACACAGTCCCTGGCCTGAAGCACAATACGGACTACACCCTGACCGTGACCACTCTGGGCTGTGGGGAAACCAGCACCGTCCAAAGCCTCACCTGCAAGACTGGCATTACTGGTATGTGATAGAAGCATAGTTCAATTGCAATGTAGGCTCAAATTTGATGGAATACGATATCACAACTTAATTACCCTCACCATTAGAACATTTATGTTTTTCACACAATGACATTGACAATATTAAAACCGTTATGTGTTGTACATGGATTTTCTTTACCTCTACAATATGTGTTGCCCGTGTAAAGATGTAGGATCTTCATTTGAGCCAGTTTGCTACGACAGGAAAATAATCCTGCAGCAACAGGAAATGTGAATTATGTGGATTATAATTAATGGACATTTTTGTAAGGGTTGTAATATTTTTTCGTAAGGGAAAATCAAGTCAAACATTTCTAAGTGGAAATGACAAACTTCAGAATACTTTATAAAACTCACATACACAGAGTATACCAAACATTAAGAACACCAAATGCAGTGTACCTCCCTCAGGACCCAGGTAGCTATTGCACTTTTACACTATGTGTTGACTGTATAAACCACCTAATACATTATACAATGATTCATAGTCATGTATGTAGACACCTGTAAGGTGCTATGAGCTGTTATGAGTACTTATAGATGTCTTACGATGATAAAATAAATGATGGATGTCTTCGTAATATATTGCGTTCACAAGGCCTTCTCTTACATTTCTCTCCCTTCTTCTCTGGTCATTCTTATGTAGTGGTCACCAGTGTGGCTGTCGGGGTAACGCTTGGAGTTTTTGCCATCCTCTTCATCATCACTGCCGGCTTCATCATCTACTGGAGGAGGTGAGAGATCATCGTCGTAATACATACACTACTGGTCAAAAGTTTTAGAACACCTACTCATTCAAGGGTTTTTCTTTATTTTTACTATTTTCTACATTGTAGAATAATAGTGAAGACATCAACACTATGAAATAACACATATGGAATCATGTAGTAACCAAAAATGTGTTAAACAAATCAAAATATATTTTATATTTGAGATTCTTCAAATAGCAACCCTTTGCCTTGGTGACAGCTTTGCACACTCTTGGCATTCTCTCAACCAGCTTCACCTGGAATGCTTTTCCAACAGTCTTGATGGAGTCCTCACATATCCTGAGCACAAACCATCTCAATTTGGTTGAGGTCGGGGGATTGTGGAGGCCAGGTAATCTGATGCAGCACTCCATCACTCTCCTTCTTGGTAAAATAGCCCTTACACAGCCTGAAGGTGTGTTGGGTCATTTTCCTGTTGAAAAACTAATGATAGTCCCACTAAGCCCAAACCAGATGGGATGGCGTATCGCTGCAGAATACTGTGGTAGCCATGCTGGTTAAGTGTGCCTTGAATTCTAAATAAATCACAGACAGTGTCACCAGCAAAGCACCCCCTCACCATAACACCTCCTCCTAATGCTTTCCGGTGGGAAATACACATGCGGAGATCATCCGTTCACCCACACAGCGTCTCACAAAGACACAGCTCTTGGAACCAAAAATCTCAAATTTGGACTCCAGACCAAAGGACAAATTTCCACTGGTCTAATGTCCATTGCTTTGGCCCAACCAAGTCTCTTCTTCTTATTGGTGTCCTTTAGTAGTGGTTTATTTGCAGCAATTCGACCATGAAGGCCTGATTCACACAGTCTCCTCTGAACAGTTGATGTTGAGATGTGTCTGTGACTTGAACTCTGTGAAGCATTTATTTGGGCTGCAATTTCTGAGGCTGGTAACTCTAATGAACGTATCCTCTGCAGCAGAGGTAACTCTGGGTCTTCCTTTCCTGTGGAGATCCAGTTTCATCATAGCGCTTGATGGTTTTTGCGACTGCACTTGAAGAAACTTTCAAAGTTATTGAAAAGTTCCGTATTGACTGACCTTCATGTCTTAAAGTAATGATGGACTGTCGTTTCTCTTTGCTTATTTGAGCGGTTCTTGCCATAATATGGACTTGGTCTTTTACCAAATGGGTCTGTATACCCCCTAAACCCCCACACCCCACACCTTGTTCCAGAACAACTGATTGGCTCAAACACATTAAGAAGGAAATAAATTCCACTAATTAACTTTTAACAAGGCACACCTGTTAATTGAAATGCATTCCAGGTGACTACCTCATGAAGCTGGTTGAGAGAATGCCAAGATTGTGCAAAGCTGTCATCAAGGCAAAGGGTGGCTATTTGAAGAATCTCAAATATAAAATATTTTTTGATTTGTTTAACACTTTTTTGGTTACTACATGATTCTATATGTGTTATTTCATAGTTTTGATGTCTTCACTATTATTCTACAATGTAGAAAATAGTAAAAATAAAGAAAAACCCTTGAATGAGTAGGTGTTCTAAAACTTTTGACCGGTAGTGTATATGCATTTAGCAGACGCTTTTATCCAAAGCATACATTTTACTTATGGGTGGCCTCTGGAATCAAACCCACAATCCTGGTGTTGCAAGCACTATGCTCTACCAACTGAGCCATACAGGATCATCATAATCATCATCGTGCTCATCATCACTCGATAATTTAGATGGTTTCAACAAAAAAATGTGGGATGGTCATATGATTTTTGTATGCATTTGTTTTTACAGACAAACCAAGAAAGACTCTTCAGACATCCAGATTCACTCTATGAGGTTATTATGATGATTCTTCACTTGTTTCTGATCCGTCTCAGTTTGAAATTGAATGCATTTTTTTTCAGGGCTAAAGTGTGAGTATCAACTCTTATGGTAACCTATTAGGAGACTTGACACATTGAATGATGCAGCAAGTAGAGTTACTGTCTCTTGGTGTCACTCATGTGTTTGTGTTAATGCTTGTCTCCTGTGTCTCTATTAGCAGTACCGTGGCTGTGAGGGTGGAGGACTATGAAGCGTATTACAAGAAGCAGAGAGCAGACTCCAACTGTGGCTTTGCCGAGGAGTTTGAGGTAAAATATAAAGCTATTTATTTGTTCATACACATATTATGGATGTTCCATCAGGCATCAGTTGATGTTCTGTATTCTGTAAATATGCCTGTGTTTCTTTGTTAGCTACTCGTGCCTGGTGGCCTAACGTCTCCCTCTCCCTCTAGGACCTGAAGCTAGTGGGAACAGCCCAAGCAAAAACCAGCGCTTTGGCCATGGAGAACAAGTCCAAGAACCGCTACAACAATGTGCTTCCCTGTGAGTCAACCATGACCCCTGTCTCCATGACAACAACCCCTGTTCTCCTGCCACTGCTTACCATAGTTACCATTGCTTATCATATCTAATCCTCCATCCTCATTGCCGAACAGACTAACTCCTTTGTTTATTCAATAGCTTAGCTGTTTATTCAAGCAAGTGTTTACACTAGAGTGGTTGGGAGCATGATGCTCTGTCTCTGGGCAGAGTGACAGGAATTATCTTTCAGTTCTATCAATTGCTCATTGCTCCTCTTTCCCACATTCCAGATGATTCCTCAAGAGTGAAACTGTCCATCCATGGGAGTCCATTCGATGACTACATCAATTCTAACTACATCCCGGTGCGTACTGACCCATCATCATAATTTTCATTGCTATCATAATCAGCTTTCTCTGACCGTCTGTGCTTCAGCTCTGCTCTGGGGTTATTTCACAAAGCAAGATCGATATATAGCTAGATAACTTCAATTAACACTCAGATATAAGTATTTATTTTCAGGTTATAGAAGTATCTAATCTGTTATATCACATCTGTCTCACATTACCAGGATATACAGAGTTGAATGAAAATATTTAGAAAAGTTAGTTAGTGCTTGTAGTAGATGCTTACGTTCTGGGTCAATATGTTCCCACTGCCAGGGTTACAACTCCAGGAAGGAGTTTATTGCGGCCCAGGGTCCTTTGCCCGGCACTGTCAACGAGTTCTGGAGGATGATCTGGGAGAAGAACGTCCAGACTCTGGTCATGCTGACACGCTGTAACGAACAGGGACGAGTGAGTACACATACGCAGACACCATTTTGTTTGTGGGAAAGGGGATGTAACCATCTGCATGCAGAATATATAGTCATCTACTCAAATGCTCCTTCTCTGGTTCAGATTGTTGAAGTGCTCCAGACTACCTTTCAGTCACTGCAGACCTCCCTATATGGTGTCAAGCTAGTCTTGAATGCACCAAAAATGAAATTCATGAATTTCACCATAGCCCGATCTCAGCCAGAGAAGGTTAGCATTTTCACATCTGGGGGCACATCCATTGAAAAGGTGTCATCCTACAAATACTTTGGTATATAGTTGGACCAGAAGCTCTCTACAAAGTTCACAAGGATAGTCTTGTGAAGAAGCTTAAACTGAAATGTGTTGTTTTTTTCACAACAAGGCTTGTTTTCTGTTTGAGGCTAGAATGAAGCTTGTTCAAGCCATGTTTCTTTCAGTAATTGATTATGGTGTACATGCATGCAGTCTCCTCTGTGCTACAGAGACTGGACTCAGTCTATCATGCATCCTTGCGCTTTGTAACAAATGCCAAGTCTCTGACCCACCAATTGCACCTTTTATCAAATGGTGGGCTGGACCTTGCTTTACATGTGCAGACAACTACATTGGTACTTTATGTGTTCATATACAACCTATGGTTCTAACGAGGAACTTAGCCTAAGATGCTTTTGGGAAATCGGGCTCAGATTGGCATGATGACGTGTTGCTGTGCTGATTGTACGGTACGTTTTATACTTTGTAATGTTGTACTGACTGCTGCTGCCTTCTTGGCCAGGTCTGGTCTCCCTTGTAAAAGAGACTGTGTCTCAATGGGAATTTCCTTGTTAATTGAAAACAAATCTAACAGACACACACAAGACAGCACACTACCAGATTCAGGGCCGGATCAGTCTCGACGCCAGTCGTCAAGCCCAAGCAAGGATGGTGACCAAAATGAAAATATTTACACAAACAGAAATTGCAAAAGGACAAGAGTATTTACACAAACAAACACTGGCAGGCCACCAGGCCGAAAGACTAACCTGCCCACCTCTCTCTCACTAAGTGCCAAACCAACACACCTGTGCAATGATCAATTATCAAGGGCTGCTTTCAGTACGAAAATAAATGTGTGGAACGTTCAATTAAATGGAAACTGTGCTGTACTGAACGACTAGATGAAAAACAGGGAGCATTGTCTTCTTCTTCAAAATTGGGTTGCTTATTGTTAGTAAATGGCTTTAAGCTACAGTACCAGTCAAAAGTTTGGACACACGTACTCATTCTAGGGTTTCTTTATTTGTGTTATTTTCTACATTATAAAATAATAGTGAAGACATCAAAACTATGAAATAACACATGGAATCATGTAGCAACACACAAAATGTTAACATATTAAAATATGCATATTTAGCATATGCAGCATATGTGGGAACTTCTTCAAGACTGTTGGAAAAGCGTTCCAGATGAAGCTGGTTGAGAGAATGGCAAAAGTGTGCAAAGCTGTCATCAAGGCAAAGGGTGTGTCACTCTCGTTGATAGATGGATCAGACCAAGGTGCAGCGTGGTATGCGTACATAATCCTTTATTAACTGAATACAGAATCAAAACAACAAAATACAAACGAACATGAAGTTCAACAGGCTACACAAACACAAGCCAATACAGAAACAAGATCCCACAACTAAGGTAGGCAAAATGGCTGCCTAAGTATGATCCCCAATCAGAGACAACGATCGACAGCTGCCTCTGATTGGGAACCACACCCGGCCAACATAGAAATAGAAAATCTAGAATTCACACCCTGACCAAACCAACTAGAGAAAACAGGGCTCTCAAGGTCAGGGTGTGTCAGGGTGGCTACTTTGGATAATCTTTTTTGGTTACTACATGATTCCATACGTGTTATTTCATCGTTTGGTGTCTTCACTATTATTCTACAATGTAGAAAATAGTAAAAATAAAGAAAAACCCTTGAATGTGTAGGTGTGTCCAAACTTTTGACTGGTACTGTATATCACCATCATCTAGTGGCCACAATAAATGAATGACAAACACAATTTGGTTTAGGACTCCGGCACTGCAGGAAGAGGTAAAATCACCAATATTAGTGTTGCGCTTTTTTCAAACCACAAAAGAAGAAGAAAATGTACTACTTTAAAATGGGGAGAGCCTCAATGGCACTTCCCATGCGGTCACAGACACCATAATGGCAAAGATACAAAGATGAGTCCTCTATATAACTCTATGGGAGGACCTCCTGACCCACATGTCCTCACACTAAGCTAGCCCAATTCATAACAACACACCTGTCTCTCACCCACCCACCTCTCTCTGCTCAGGTCAAATGTGAGGAATACTATTCATCTGAGACCAAGCACTTTGAGTATATCACCGTGACAACCACCTCTGAGATCCCCCTAGAAGACTGGACCATCAGGGACTTTGACGTAAAAAATGTAAGTTGCTGTGATAACAGAGGAGGCTGGTGGGAAGAGCTATAGGAGGACAGGCTCATTGTTATGGCTGGAATGGAATAAATGGAACGGTATCAAACACATCAAACATATGGAAACCACATGTTCGACTCCATTCCATTTATTTCATTCCAGCCATTACAATGAGCCCGTCCTCCTATAGCTCCTCTCAGCCTCCACTGTGTGATAATGAGGGAGACAAATATTTTCCTCTTCTGCTGCTTAGTGGGTAAAACCAGAGCAATATACATGGCTCTGGGAAAAACTATCCCTTATAGCTAGCATTTTGAAAATGAATTTTAGCAGATATTTTCAGATCCGACTATGGATCCTGGAAGGGTTCATTCATTACATGTTATGCATACCTTAGTGCTTATCAGTAAGTGTCCCTGTGTTTGTGATTGGCTGACAGGTGAAGACGGCAGAGACACGCTCGGTACGTCACTTCCACTTCACAGCCTGGCCAGACCACGGCGTCCCCGAGACCACTGAACTGCTCATCAACTTCAGACACCTGGTTCGAGAACACATGGACCAGTACTCACGCCACTCCCCCACTGTCGTCCACTGCAGGTACATGCACATGCACACGCACATGCACACACACACACACACACACACACACACACACACACACACACACACACACACACACACACACACACACACACACACACACACACACACACACACACACACAAACATTGTTTATCTTAGTTAACGTCAATAAGCGTTATTGGTTTGGAAAGTAAATTAACATTATTTCTCTCTCCCTCTCCCTCTTGCTCTCTCTCTCCTCTCTCTCCATTTAGTGCGGGTGTGGGTCGTACAGGCACCTTCATAGCCATCGACCGGCTGATCTTCCAGATAGAGAGGGAGGGTATGGTGGACGTGTACGGCACCATCCATGAACTGCGCATGCACCGGCCCCTCATGGTGCAGACAGAGGTCAGTCACTGCCTACACCGGTCTACATTTCAGCATGTTTCTGGGTTTATTACAGGCCTGCTGTACAATACATCACTGTGGTTAAAAGTGGAAGTTATGCTACAGGTGCTTATGTGGTCAGTAGGTGAAATGTTATGACATCTGAACAGTCAGTTTGCTTCATCCTATTGGAGTACATTGTGTTATTGTCTTACAGGAGCAGTATGTGTTCCTAAACCAGTGTGCCATGGACATCATCCGATCCAGAACTGGAACCAACGTGGATTTAATCTACCAGAACACAGCTGCACTCACCATCTACGAGAACGTAGAACCGAGGAAAGATACATTTAAGAATGGCTACCACAACGCATAGGCCTCACGTCCACTCTTTCCTCTCTCTATTCCTCCCCACTCTTCCTCCACTCCCCTTCTCCACTATCAGGCAGACAGGCCTGGAGAGACGAGTTTAGAAAAGGGAAAGTATTTTTAAGTCTCTCACTGTATTTATTGATCTACTTGATCATGTTGCCTTACACTTTTTTTTATTGATCTAGTTTTTGTAGTATTTATTTGGTAAACATGTTGTGGAAGTTGGAAAAATAACAAGGGAGGTAACTGTTCTTTCAGAGGAACAATGCACAATTTTCATCCAAAGACCAACAATGGAATGTACATAAAATTATATTGTAGAGATGTAATTCTTATATTTCCATATTTTTATATTGCTGATACTTTGAATATCTGCTTGCTCTCTTATTATGATTGTGGTAGGATTGCCAACATTTTAAGAATACTTGCTCAGGTAATATATGTGAAATGATGTGTGGTTATACTATGTGAGAAGTGCCATGCCTTTGTAAATGAATACAAAGATATATACAACACCAGTCAAAGGTTTGGACACACCTACTCATTCAAGGGTTTGTCTTTATTTTTACTATTTTCTACATTGTAGAATAATATTGAAGACATCAAACTATGAAATAACACATATGGAATCATGTAGTAACCAAAAAAGTGTTGACTGACCATGTATTAAAGTAATGATGGACTGTCGTTTCTCTTTGCTTATTTTAGCTGTTCTTGCAATAATATGGACTTGGTCTTTTACCAAATAGGGCGATCTTCTGTATACCCCTCCAACTGATTGGCCCAAACGCATTAAGAAGGAAATTCCACAAATTAACTTTTAAGAAGGCACACCTGTTAATTGAAATGCATTCCAGGTGACTACCTCATGAAGCTGGTTGAGAGAATGCCAAGAGTGTGCAAAGCTGTCATCAAGGCAAAGGGTGGCTATTTGAAGAATCTCAAATATAAAATATATTTTGATTTATTTAACACTTTGTTGGTTACTACATGATTCCATATGTGTTATTTCATAGTTTTGATGTCTTCACTATTATTCTACAATGTAATAACTACTAACAATAAAGAAAAACTCTTGAATGAGTAGGTGTGTCCAAACTTTTGACTGGTAGTGTATATATATATAAATATACATTTAAATGCAGATCTCGTGTATTGTTAAATGGGCCCAATGTTGTGTTGCCATGTATCTCCATCTTTAGGTAGGGATTAGCACCCAACATAACAATTATCCACACAAAAAAATCTTAAACAAACAAATATCCTCTCCTCCCTTCTTTGCCTTGATGTGCCCTCCCAAGAGTTTCCACTAGGTGGTGCAAATACATTCTTCTTTATGTGCAGTGACAGGACAATTACAGTACACCGTTTTATAGGAGGAAAGATAACTACTACTGGCAATAGGCCTATACAAATATTAGTTAATATTAGATATCTAAAGTCAAATGTTAAACTTTCACTCCAGAGAATTTGGATATCTAAACAAGTTTAAAACGAGGAGTTTCATGGGAACCTTTGGGATTTTATGCACTGTTCTGCGTAATGCACCGGATGCATTTACGTTTTTACACTGTAGCTTTTTAAATTTTCCTATTGATGTTTAATTAAGGTTGGTGTACATATTCTTGAGGTGATCATGAGAAATGATTGAGAAACTGCTGTGTGAGCCTGTGGCCCTCCTGACTGTTGAAACCCACGTTGTGCAATACGAAATCACCATTCAATACGAAATCACCATTCACCACACTTCCGTCTGTAAACTCAGCTCATCTCTCACCCTCAAATACTCAGAGGTTACGCATTATGAAACGTTTCCCTACTGTTTGTTGATGACCTACTGTATGTTCTATAGAAAGTGGTTAATGTAATGCTGTCATAATGTCTATCTGTGATGTTTCTATCATAGGAGCTGGAAAAGGTTTGCAGTCATTGGGACGGCAGTTTTATATGAGGCGATTTGCCCTTTTTGGAAATATGTGGTTATATATACTGTATTCATGGGCCCCGTCCAGAAACAACCTCTACTCACCAGATCAGAAAGAGTTGTATTGGTAAAAGCAATATGGTAGTTGCTCTACCTAATTATCTGATAGTGATATGCTAGGTGGAATTTTTGCCAAATCTACACAAATATCTATAAAGACCAAGGGAATAAGGGATGTTTCTGGATATAGGTCATAGATTTAAAGACCAGCTGTGATTTAATTTAAAGCCACTATCCTGATATTGTTGTACTGTCTTTGTATCATAATGTACAATGCTTACACCGAAAATAGTCTTCCTCAGAGTTTCAGGAAGTTTTATGGAGTGGTGTAGGAATTTTGTTACAATGCTGTGTGATACACTATGCGATGCTTGCTGGTACAATGCAAAGGAGGGAAAGGTAAAGATTGACTATTTGTATCCTTCCATCTGTCGATACTGGGATTAAAGATGTTGCACTCTTTTCTCTCTAGAAGTGTCTGTGAGCTTCTCTGTTTCACTATTTGCCCACCATGTCCATAGTGTTGATTGAGACAAAAGCCCAAGCCTTTGTGCAATTAGGCTACAGTAACTGGGATAAAATACTTCAACAAAAGATTCATTGAAACACGCAACAAATTGTACCATTTGGTAAGCAGGTAGTTAGTTAGTCTGTGTTGAATTCTTTGAAGTACCAGAAAGTATCATTTGTAAATTCCTCATGAACATCAGCTAAAACAGGACAAGGTTAGGACTGTTTATTGTTAACCCTTTCACAAAGGCTCATTGTTACTTTGTTCTGAGAGAAACAGCATTTTTAAGGTATTTTGATGGAGCAATGTCCCTGGACATGTGGGCAAACCTCAGTGCTCTATGGGCCTCTAGGCCATGTTGCTGAGTCAGGGGTTAGTACAATGTAGCGACAGGTATAAAAAGGAAGGTTTTAAACAGGTAGGATATCAGTTCCACAGCAAGAGCAGAAGCAGCAGCACAGAGAGACAAAATGACCTCCACCGGCATGAACATGAACAGCAAAGTATATTTTAGTGCAAATATAAACATACATCTTCCTATATTCAGAGCACAAGACAACCTTAATTGCAGAAACCTGATTACTAGAGGGATTGGGTAGGGCCCAAAATGTAGCAATATGTTTTTGTAAGTTGTTTGAATGGTTAATTAAAATGATTCCTGCTTATTTTCAGATCACCTTCTACGAGGACAGGAACTTCCAGGGTCGTTCCTATGAGTGTATGAGCAACTGCCCTGACATGTCCTCCTACCTGAGCCGCTGCCAGTCCTGCAGGGTTGAGAGCGGCTGCTTCATGGTCTATGACCGCCCCAACTACATGGGAAGCCAGTGGTTCATGAGGAGGGGAGAGTACTCTGACTACCAGCGCATGATGGGAATGAACGACATCAGGTCCTGTCGCATGATACCCATGGTAAACCCAATAGCATTTAGTTTGTAGCCTTTTATAGCGTTGATTTTTGAGATACACCTGTGTCCATTCCTCAATATGTCTACAATCTATGATACTACATTACACATTTTTTAGGAAGTTCCTGAGCTGTGCAGATGTCTCACTAAATCATGTTGTTCATCATATTACAGCACAGAGGACCTTACAGGATGAGGATCTACGAGAGGGAGAACTTCGGAGGTCAGATGCACGAGATGATGGACGACTGTGATGACGTCATGGGTCGTTACCGCATGAGCAACTGCATGTCCTGCAACGTTATGGACGGCCACTGGCTCATGTATGAGCAACCCCAGTACAGAGGCAGGATGATGTACATGAGGCCTGGAGAGTACAGAAACTTCAATCAGATGAGCATGGGCTCTATGGGCATGAGATTCATGAGCATGAGGCGTATCAACGAGTCCTGTTACTAGATATTGCTTTACTGATGTAAACAAGAAAAGCCATTGAATAAAATGTATTTAAAAAAAGAAGCATTTCTTGCACGTTTCTTGTTTATTCTTTACCCAAACACCTTGACATGCCATCCTGAATACATGCAAATATGTCATTTACCTACCAATTCTTAATGGCCCAAGAAATATATAAAACACTAAAACATATTATACTAAAATCCAAATGTGGTTTATTTTACTGTTCCTAAAGTCTGATTTCCAATGTCTTTTCACGAAAAATAAATATATGCATGTTACAATAATGATTCCAGTGTCTGTGCCAATAACTTAAGGTTACTTTCGTAACCCAGGTTCTCTGATAATATGAGTGAGATGTATCACATATGGGGATTCGCTGAAGGTGGATCACTATGAAGATAAAGGCGAAAGAAAAGCACACCTATTTAGGCGAGGTGCTGGCAGATGCAATAATTATACCCTGATGAAGACAACGAAGGTGCATTGATGTCCAGTCAGTAAAACCTCATAAACGTATGAGGGGCGGCCCGACATGTCGCACTGTAAATCTCTTGCAAAGAGTGCCCTGTGAAGAGGGCCCTCCGGGGGCTATAAACCCTTGCTATTATAGGTAAATATAAAAGCCTCCAATATCCAAAGGGAGGCAGGAAAAACGGAGGCAGAAATGGAGGCAGTAAAAAACCACTATTGACAGGAGCTGAGGTCATACGTTCAGCAGCATTAACCTCACGGTACGCCTGAGAACGGTTAAATAGGAAGACAGAATTCTAGTCGTGCTGAGGAGAGCTTCAGGAGCCATACTGATTCTTCAGCAATGAAGAGAGGTAAAAATGACCAGTGTTCTTCTTCGATGGGTTTAACGGCGGTTAGCATCCAATGTTAATGATGCATTACCGCCACCAGCTGGACAGGGTTTTGAATAAGAAACAAAAAAGACATTGTGGGAAAGAGGGAAAACGACATCATACAAAATACAAAATTAAACACGTCAACTAACAAAACCCATCCCACTTCTTCAATCACAGTCCACTCCAAAATACATCCCTACACAGGCTCAGGGGCCTGTGATGGCGGAACATTCACCGACAGGATTTCTTGCACGGCCTCGGCTGTAAAATCACGAAGACCCCAAAAACGTTCAGCTGCATTCACAATGATTCCAATTTTCTTAGACTTCTTCTCTGCTTGTGCTGTACAGTTTATGACCATTGCAATAAATAATACAAAGTCCACCTTTTTAGCATGGAACATTTCACTATCCCTCGGTTGATGGGAAACCTTCACTGGCGTGGTGGCTCTGCTACCATCGTTTCATCCCCGCCACTGATTCCTTCCTATCTTCTCACCGCCTCCAGATAGGAGACATGGTGGACACTCCTTACCCTTGCCACCTCATTCTCCTTCACCCTAACAGGGCAGTCCAATAATTCAGGTGCATGTTCACCTCCAGTTGCAGCATTTCACTTCTTCTGTACACACTTGATACATGACCAAATCTTTTACATGTATGACACTGAAGGGGCTTGTGCACAAAAGCTCTTACAGGGTATCTCATGAGTCCTAACTTTATATCATCAAAGAACAGTAGCATGGATGAAGTTAATTTATTTTCTCCATCCACCATACAGGTCAGTCAACGTGCACCAACCACTCCATCGATGTCGTCAGTAATATCTACTGCCTTTATTTCTTGCGCCAGAAATAACTCCCTTGATAGGCGCCCTGCTATGAAAACCCATACAGGAAACATTCCACTCCGATATCTTTTTTAGTCTTAAAACACGCTTCTTCTGCTCCGCGGACACACAAAACATCTAAATAAGACCACTTCTTGTGACTCTCACCAACTCAACACTTTCCTCCAACACACTCCAGATTTTACTCGAGACGTTAAACGGATTTCCCAAGTAACATTGATCCAAAACCCTAAAAACAAGTCTAGTGGTTTGCTATTTTCCACCACAGCTTTACTTCTGTTTCCCCTCTTCTTTGCCACGGTAACCCACTCATTCTCACTTTCTGTACTATTAGCTTCGGCCGACTCACTAGCAGTTTGAAACAAAACCTCCGTTTCCACCATCTTCTCTGCATTTCCTCTCCCCTCTCTTTCTTCTTCTTCCTCTACACCGGCTTCTTGTCAGCACTTAAGATATCAGAATGACCAGAGGCCGGTGAGTGGCGCCTTATAAGGAGGGAGGGCTCACCTCATTCGCCACTCGACCTGTCTGTCTCCGACAGGCATTGTGTGATTGGTTCTTCGTAGTGATCCACCTCCAGTGAATCCCCATATGTGATACATCTAAACAAGTTTTTGAAAGTGAACAGATTTATAGAGACATGACTCATCTGTAAACATGAAATAACGGAAGGAGAACTGAGAGATGAACGTATCATTAAAGTAGATCATGTACACTGGTTTTTACAGCTCAAGAGTGGAATGGAAAGGGAAGGTCAGTATACTAAAACTAGCAATAGTTACTGGTTACCTTGGATTTAGACACTATGCTATGTGGTGGCAGGGAGAAAGGCACCCAGTTGATACTTAAAATTAATACTGTTTTCTTGGAAATAATACTGTAACTTACTATTCTAATGAGTTTAAAATCAGAATGCAGACATGTTACTGGCTGAACACTTAGAAAGCTCTATCTTGAGGATCTCCAGAGATATGTAGATGGAAAGGTAAAATGATAAAATATAAAAAACCCAGAAGCATAATGCGAAAAGGTTTACAATGACACAACATGGTAGGTTAACAATCAAAAGGCACACACCGTCGTGCTTCTACTAATCATTCTAGAGTAGCAATTTATTTCTACATATTACTCTGATATTGACTGGAACTTGTAATGCAAGTATTAAGGTTTCAGTGCATTTTCCTCATTCAAAGTCATTCAATGATCAGGACATGATTTAGATCCCATTGGAATGGACAAGACCTTCACTTTAATACAGAGATGAATGCACCTCCCTATGTTACGATTACGATTTTAAGATGGCTTTTGTTCAACTACACTTACTATGTGAGTGTTTTAATACTTAAAAATCACATTATTATCAGCAGAGGATTTTCAGACTGGGAGTACTTTACATGCTATGGATTGTTTTCTTAAAAGGTGCCAAATTCATAAACATCTGTAAAAAACCTTGTTGACTGTCATATCTACACATGATGTCCCAAAAATATCATATTACAATAATAATACTTACAATGTACAAATTAGTTATTCCTGTCCTATAAACAAGTCAAAAAAGTACAAAATATCTACAAGATAATTACACGGACCAAAGGCATTGATTTGTTTTGATGTTTCTGTCTCTGTGGGCAAACACAGCTGGGCACTTAGTGAGGTCTTACTGATTCATAAGGTCAACGTCACATCATGGCACATCTGGTGATAGAAAAGTCTTCAATCCCAACCTGCTGTCTGATGCCACCTGCACTGAATAACTACAGACAGCGCCACTTGGTGGCTATGCCGTGAAGTGCATTGTTTTGTTTTTCCAACTCACTGCTGCGTGCTGGGACATGTAGTTCTCAGGCCCTCTCCTGTGGGATTTAGTCTGACATTTTCTTCCCTTTTTGTCTTGGGCAGGCAACTGTCTGTGGTAACACTGATTTCCATATGAGCTTAGGGGTCCTGTGGCCTATTGGGTGGTCATAGTGACCCTTGAATCCCACATATGGTATGAGCGCAGTAGCTCTCTTCCTTGGTTGTCTACCTGGAATTCCATCCAGGTCAGATTGAGGTTTCGTTGCTACCACTGTTGAGAGAGACATAGAGAGTTGCTAAAGTCAGAAAGTGATTGACGTATTATCCAACATATCTGTTAGACATGCAACATAGCTGCCAGTATCTCGTGACCACTCACTCTGAGTCCGAGTCTTGGGCGTGTTGAACCCCGTTGACACCATTGACCAATGGCGACATCGTCGTCCTCGACGTTGTCATGACAACCCCGTTGCGCAGGTCCCGTGGAGACAACGGAGGACGTGGAGGCACGGGTGGGCGAGGTGGGGTTTTGATAAGGACCCCGTTTCCCACGGTTACAGTGCAGAGACGGGGGGCGACGGGAGATGGGGGGACAGGGACTGGGGTAGTTCTGGGGGAGATGGTGGGGGGGTTGTAGTCGCTCAATTTTTCCCGCAGGCGATTCTTCATATTCTTGTCAGTCAGCGGAGGACGGTAGGTGATCTTGTTTTTCAGAATGCCTGACAGAGGATGCAAACACACAGAGGGTGAATGTGCAAACCACAGTCAGTCATGCAAGCAAACACAAACAGAGACACACACAACTTATTTGGATAGCAAAACATGACGCAGAATGTTGACATGTTGATTCAATCACACATTTCATTTGATTTGGGACATTCCTGACCAACGTTAATTATAAAGGGCCTGAATGGTCAGATTGGAGTCTGTCTCTCTTTCTCACCCCTTCTCTTCTCTGTCTGGTTGCTGTCAGGTGAGCTGGGAGGGGCACTACCGTTCTGGTAGGGGGACTGCCCATTGACTTTTTTGTCCTGGTGGAGCTTCACGTTGACCTTGGTCTCCATACGTAGCGTCTCCAACCCGCAGGGCTCCTCACTCTCACTGACTGTCGGTGGCTCAACTGGCCAGTAAGGCTTCATGTGATTGGCCACCGTATCCACTACAAAAGTAGAAAAATAAACAGTTTATATGAGATTCGCCCAAAAATGAATGATAGATTTTATGTCATATAGTTCTATTGAAATCCATATGCGTATGTGTGTGTGTGTGTTTGAACGTGAGTCCCATTACCATTGGGTGTGCTGTGCTGGGGCTGTCTCTTGTTGTTCCACCTATGCTTGCGGCTCCCTCTGTCATCATCACTGTCTGAGGAGTGGGACGAGGCGTAGGAGCTACTGTGCTCATCCACCGAGAGCTCGCTGTCCGAATCCGAATCTGTCACCATGGAAACACAGGGGCTATTACTTACTATTGGACATCTGAAGTCTAGGCCCAAGCAGCCAATGGCATGTCAAGTATTGAGATTAGACTAAAACAAATTACATGCAGTTTGCATGCGGTTTGTGCATAAGACTCATACTATCTTTCTTGGAACGCTTGCGGATGAAGATGGAGGAGTCTCCCTCTCCACGGTAACTATTTTTGGCTGAGCGGGAGGATGTAGTGTGCTTTTGCCCTGAGTCATTCCTGTACGAAGAAAGAAACATGATGAGTATATAAATAATCATTTGAATATGAATGACAATTCTGTTCCAGTAGAACTAAGGTTGCAACATTCCAGTAAACTTCCCAAAATTCCCAGGTTTTCCCAAAATACCGGTTGGAATATTCCTGGAATCAGGGGGGAATAAGCAGGAAATCAAGAATCCTTCAACAGGGCTTTCTTAGAAAGCTGGGAATTTTGGGAAGGTTACTGGAGCTTTGCAAGCCTAATTAAAACCCAGTTTCAGTACAACCCAACTGCCACCCAGTGAGTTACCTGGCCTGGCTGCTGCTGAGGCTGTGGGCTGATCTGACCGTGCTGTCCAGGGAGGCAGTGGACTCTCCAATGGCCGTGCGGTACAGACCGTCCTCCTCCGTGAACGAGTACTTACCGTTTAAAGAACGCTGGGGGCAACAAAGAGGTAGAATGTGGATTGAATCGTCACCATCAGCAGCATCAGATAAGGTTTATGTGATCCCCTTTTGGATTAATATCTAATATCTATCCCTGTAAGGTCAAAGGGCCCGGGGCTGGGTTTCTACTAAGCTAACATATGGAATTGTTTTAAGAAGGTCATACCAAAGATCATTTAGCTATTTGATTTAGAATTTTAGGACCCCTGTAGGTATGAACTGTTGCCCTTAGAACAGCCTGAATTAATTGGGGGAAGGACTATACAAGGTGTCGAAAGCGTTCCACAGGGATGCTGGCCCATGTTGACTCCAATGCTTCCCACAGTTCTGTGAAGTTGGCTGGATGTGGTGGACCATTCTTGATACACACGGGAAACTGTTGTTGAGTGTGAAAAAGACAGCAGTGTTGCAGTTCTTGAAACAAACCGGTGCGCCTGGCACCTACTACCATACCCCGTTCAAAGGCACGTAAATCTTTTGTCTAGCCCATTCACCCTCTAAATGGCACACATATACAATCCATGTCTCAATTGTCTCAAGGCTTAAAAATCCTTCTTTACGTGTCTCCTACCCTTCATCTCCACTGATTGAATTGAAAGTGACATCAATAAGGGACCATAGCTTCGAACTGGATTCACCTGGTCAGTCTATGTCATGGAAAGAGCAGGTGTTCTTAATGTTTTGTACACTCAGTACTGTCATTCATTTTTCAAACTGATACCGGGCTACCTTCAGACGAGTCTTGTGAGGCTTGTGGGCTTCCTAGAGCAAAACAACTGACATGTCCGTGTTCGTGGGAGTCTCACCTTTCGATGGTGGGGTATTATATTAGTGTGTAGACCAAACTATTCGGATGCTACAGACAGAAGTTGGCAGATCGGCAGTACGGAGAACACAATCGTGTTCGTGAGAGTCTCATCTTTCCATAGAGGGGTCGTATTAGTTTGTAGGCCAAACCATTTGGATGCTACATACGTTTTCGTGAGAAGACTGATTTTCTGGATGTCTCCTGGTCTGACAAACACCGCTGTAGCTCTGCCACCTTCCACCGCGGATGTGGGAGGCCGACATCGGTGGATGCGGTGGATTGAGACACAGCCCGTGCAAAAAACAGACAGATTTTGATGGGACATTTGTATTATGCTAATTAGAGTATTGCGGTGGTGTGGACATCGACTCTAGGGGATTTTAATGTACACAGGTTTAGTACACTTAGATATTGACTTATGTTTACATACTGTGAGTAAAGTGGTGCGGGTGGCAGTAGAATCTTCCACTATGGACTTCTTCCCTGTGAGGACGTTCTTCAGGTTGATCCTCACTTCCTTATTGAAAATACAGTGGAAGAAGAAGATGCACACACCCTGAGAGAGAGAGAGGGAGAGAGAGAGAGAGAGCGACAAAACGAGAGAGCGAGAGAGAATTGCAAATCAGATAAATAGAGCCGATGTATTTGAGACATCTCAGGGGTTTTGAAGTACTTTTTGTGACAAGACAAAAACACAAATACCTGGAGGCAGCTGAAGATGGCAAAGAGGTAGTGGAAGGAGAGTAAATCACTATTGACTGCCATGAGGCCCAGCAGCCAGGTAGCACTGATGAGTAACAGGAGGAGGAAGGCTATGCGTAGAGAAGAGCTGAAGAGGAGAGGTTGTTATTTTTGAATGGAATCCAGCCAACATGTTATGCTATGTGCAAACTGTTTTCTAACCCTATCCTGTTTCGAAGTACTCACATTGCTCCAGACATCTCAAATGTCCACTGTCTCTTTCCGCACGAGGCCTTGGCTGCCAGGAAGAATAAAGTAATGTTGACCTAAGGGAGATACATGAGATGGAGATGAATAACAGAATCCACGAGCCATAACCAATACAGTATAGTACAACAAATAAAGAGTGCCTACACTCACTAGAACTACTATAGCGATGGGCCCAGCGATACTCCAGATGAGTGTGTCGTGGACAGAAAGCCAACAGAAGTCTGGGTTACCATAACCCTGAGGATCCAACCCTACTGCCAGGCCTACAAGAGAGGAAAACATACACAGTTAGTCAATTCCATTTGAATTCCTGTTAATTCAGGAAGTACACTGAAATTCCAATTCTCTTCAATGCTTTCAATGAGGAGAATTTGGAATTCGAATTTGTTTTAGTTTCTGAATTGACTGGAATTTTTATGGAATTGACACCAACCCTGGCTTGCAGAGTACAGTGCCTTCAGAAAGTATTCATACCCCTTGACTTATTTTTTCTTAAATCTACACACAATACCCCACAATGACGGTGAAAACATATTTTCATAAATCTTTGCTGATTTATTGAAAATAAAATACAAATATATCTTATTTACATAAGTATTCACCCCCCCGAGTCAATACATGTTAGAATCACCTTTGGCAGGGATTACAGCTGTGAGTCTTTCTGGGTAAGTCTCTAAGAGATTTCCACACCTGGATTGTACAATATTTGCACATTATTCTTTAAACAATTCTTAAAGTTCTGTCAAGTTGGTTGTTGATTATTGCTAGACAGCCATTTTCAAGTCTTGCCATAGATTTTCAAGCCGATTTAAGTCAAAACTGTAACTAGACAACTCAGGAACATTCAATGTCGTCTTGGTAAGTAACTCCAGTGTATATTTGGCCTGTTTTAGGTAATGGTCCTGCTGCAAGGTGTCTGCTGAAAGGTGTCTCCCAGTGTATGTTGGAAAGCAGACTGAACCAGGTTTTCCTATAGGATTTTGCATGTGCTTAGCTCTATTCCGTTAATTTTTATCCTAAAAAACTCCCTAGTCCTTGCCGATGACAAGCATTCCCATAACATGATGCAGCCACCACCATGCTTGAAAATATGTAGTGGTACTCAGCGATGTGTTGTGTTGGATTTGCCTCAAACACTTTGTATTCAGGACAAAGAGATGATTTCTTTGCCACATTTTTTGCAGTTTTACTTTAGTACCTTATTGCAAACAGGATGCATGTTTTGGAATATTTTTTATTCTGTAGAGGCTCCCTTCTTTTCACTCTGTCATTTAGGTTAGTTAGTATTGTAGAGTAACTACAATGTTGTTGATCCATCCTCAGTTTTCTCCTATCACAGCCATTAAACTGTAACTGTTTTAAAGTCACCATTGGCCTCATGGTGAAATCCCTGAGCGGTTTACGTCCTCTCCAGCAACTGAGTTAGGAAGGATGCCTGTATCTTTGTAGTGACTGGGTGTATTGATAGGGCAATTAATAACTTCACCATGCTCAATGGGATATTCAATGTCCGTTCATTATGGGGTATTGTGTGTAGGCCAGTGACACAAAATCTCAATTTAATCAATGTTTAATTCAGGCTGTAACACAACAAAATGTGGAAAAAGTCAAGGGGTGTGATTACTTTCTGTATGTTGTTTCCATGCATCTGTGTCCCTCTCTGTCTTTGTGTGCATAAATGAGCGGGAATGTATTTGTTTGCATGCATGTATGTCTGTGTGTGTGTTGTTGGGCGAGGGGGGGGGGGGGGGGGGAGTGTGTTTGAGAGAGAGAGTGTGTGTATGTGTCTCACTCACTGGTGATAATGGCAGGAATGCCCCAGCCAATGGCATAGTAGAATCTCATGTGGCCATGGTTGATGTTGCGGACCTCAGTCAGCATGCGGTAGATGTGAAGTCCCTCCACAAACATCCAGGCAAATGTACACATGTAGGAGTAGTGCAGCAGGATGGCTACCACTGTACACATGAACTGAGGGACAGAGAGGTTGGGAAAGATGATTAAAGCCCCCGTTTTAAAAGATAACTGTGCTAATTGTCAGTTGGGCTGTCTGTGAAGTAAGTCTGGTTCAGTAACTTCTAATCTATAACAACAGAACACAATGCAATCGCTAAGGCCAATTCCACACATTGCCAGACAGAAACAGAACTATTATTATCCAAGATAAAGCCACTAAGATGCTCAGGCACAGCCAATACAGTCACTACTCACTACCATAAAAGACAAATGCATTTCAAAGTTGTGGAGGGGGGAGGAGCCATAAGGCTAGCTCTGTAGCCTTCCTCTTGGAAATCCCTCCATTTTTCGACAAATTAAGTTCCCCTCCACACAATGCTGTAAACCCATGTATTACAGTAGAGACTTTTAATACGTTTTAGCCTGCAGGTATATCAGAGAGTCTATAATAAAGCAATAAGACAAAATATAGTGTTTTTGGGGTGCGCCTCAGGGTCGTGTGCTAGGCCCTCACCACATTCTCAGTCTGGTTGATTCCGAAGAGGAAGACAAGCTCGGAGAGGAAGATGGACACCACCAGGTTTTTGTGGATGCTGTGGAGGTTGGAGCGGAGCTTCCGGAGGATGGCCAGCAGGAGGAAGGTGATGAGAAGTGCCATTAGCGAGGCTGACACAGTGGTGTAGGTGATGATCTTCAGGGGCAGGACCTCCCCATGCTGAGGATGTAAACACAGACCAGAGGTAAGATCAAATATTCAAAGTAATAAAATAACAATATAAAAGCTGCCCTAGTGTGTGTGGTAGAGGGCTCAGGGCGGTACCTCTCTCTTGGAGATGTCCATGAGCACAGCAGAGCTGGACATGTGACTGCACTGGCAGCTGATGTGAGTGCTGTTCCTGAACACAAGCTCACACCCCTTGGCAGACCAGCCTCCAGTTCCATGAACCCTGGACCCAAAATAGAGATCGTTGGGTATGATTTATTTCCTTTTCAACAGAATCTAGCTAAACTCCATTCTAAACCTATGATATGAATAAGAGTATTGATAGGTATACTCATCCTTACGCGATGGAATGATTCCAGTAGACACAGACAGGTTTGGTCCTCTCCTCTGTCTCCAGGAGTCTGTATTCCAGTGTGATGGGTTGTGCAAGAGGAATGGTCAAGGGCACCCTCTCACTGTAAACCACCATGCTCACAATTGGGGTGTTGATGATGGGCCGGTTGGGGAGTCTAAACACACATTCACATACACAGATGACACGTGTGTTTACATTGACTGTAGTCATCCAAAATACATTCTTATTGAGAGTGACTTACCATAAGGGCCTAGCTACAACAGTGAGGCAGGACAACAGCATAAAAACACATTTCACAATAAAAACTAGTCCAAAACAAAGGACATACAGTACTAACAGCACTAACAGCATGATATAATTGAACCTCCTTGTAGACACACAACCGCATAAATGCACACACATTCTATACAAGGGAACTGTCAAGATCTTGTAAGACCCAGAGAGAACAGTTGAAATATTAGACCAAAATATTTGGACATACAACCTGTGCATAAATTTACTACTGGCAATTATTCAATTGGTGTTTATATGTTATGTGTACGGCGAAGCACATCACATATTGTATACATGGCACTGTGTAAGATCTTTGAATTATACATTAGACAGCATATGTTAAAGACAACCAACTTGTTTTATGTAGTAAGAGTGAGGAGGAAATGTAAAAAGTACCTCAGGCTCCTACGATCAAGGTCGTAGTTTTCAGGCAGGAGCTGTCCCAGGGTCCTATAGATGATCACCACAGCAACAGGGAGAGGGCCTGGGACCTCAGCGTGACGCTTCTTCTTGGCAGACGCCTGGTGACCGACAGTGGAGGATTCAGTGGACTCTGGACTCTGGACAGGAGAGGCGTCTGTGGCTGTTGCTATGGGGTCGTCTGTGGCTGTTGCTATGGGGTCATCTGTGGCTGTTGCGTCTGTGGTTGGTGCTATGGAGACTGCTGTAATGATTGAAAACGATATCATGACAATACATTAATAAATTAATGAAATCAATCAATCACACACACATAAAAACACTACCAGACTGGTTGAAGAACTTGACAAACTGTTTACGCAGTATGTTAGAGCCGATTTGGGCATATTTTGTATAAAAGACTGAACATACTGAGCTCCATGTACATTTGTGTAAATATATTAAATATTAATGTATATGATGAAATATTAGGTACGTACCTTTATGATTTATTTACCGGATTGAGATATATTCATTTGTTATTAGTGTAACTCAGTTTTTGGCCCCCCCTCTTGCCCATTCATTGTACTGTGTTAATTGTGTTAGTATAAAGGCAGGAAGTTGGGCCTTCGGGGGGAGGAGTCCTTGCTAGATGCGGGAGCGGTATAGTTTTTTGACCATATAGACATATAGACATACAGAAATACAGACAGACAGGTCATATTATATTATGTATTTGCATTTCAAGTAATCTCTGCTTTAAGTTGATTGGAGAATACCCTTTTGTTAGATAAGAAGAACAAACATTTTCTGTTGCACTATATCCCTGGATCTCATTGAATGTTTGGCCGTTTGGAAACGTTGAGTGTGGACTGTATGCGTCCGAAACAACCCCGCTTCAGGCTAGGGCAGTGGCTATGGTAAAGAGGAAAGGAAGCCACTACACAGTACAACAGCTCAGACTTCACTCAAGGACTATTTACGTTATGAAGGCTCCATAATGAACCACACAATGTCCATGCCGTATCCACTCCTTTAAGCCTACCTTTAACCTCCTCTGGCTGCTCTTGCTGTGTTGGGAACTCTGGGAAGCGGACGGAGGATTCCATCTCTTTGGGATAGGCCTGGATCTCTTGGAAACGCGGGATGTTTGTCCATTCTGGATTGGACGGGTCCAAGTAATCCACAGAAACAACTGGGAGCACAGAGAGAGAAGGAGAATGGTTGTTAATTATGCTTGTCACACACAAGAGTGGTACAGTAGGTTGTCTTTTATATGCACAATGTAACATTACTTTGCATTAATTAGTCATGCAAATCAGGTTACTGCAATGAAATAATTGTGTCATTGCACTGCAGGTGGACTCACTCATGTTTTCTGTGACAACAGTGAAGGGTTTCAGGTAGGTCTTCCTCATGTTTTGTGCCAGTGTTTGGGCGTACTCCTCAAAGCTATGCAGAAGTAGGGCCGTGCCATCTTCGAAACGCTGGATCTGCTCCCAGTGCCCCCTGTTAGCAGGGTCCAGGATGGCACTGCCCGCTCGGACGATGTTCTAGAATATTTACACATATTAGTCATACACCTACATCATTATATACTATGCAATACTCTGTATTCACCAATGCCATACCGTGCCATACCGATTAGTATGGTATCATTCCAGCATACATCAGTGACAAACAGAATCCATAATCTGTATCATATAGCCCAAATTAAGCATGTGAAATCAATGCCAACAGAACAGAGAGAAAGAAGGAAAGAAAACAAAAGAAGGAAAGGCGAGCTGCCCTATAAAGGAAGGGGGGTCACTGTACAGACATTATCTCTTAACATCACCTGTGCAATCTGGCCCCACGCCCAGCCACCCCTGGGGAACTACTACTCCCAAGTCACCCATTGGTCCAATCACTCAGAAAACTCCACTCTGATTGGTCCTTGACCCCCTAAACCCTTCCAGCTGCACCTTCTGGTATCTAACACACACTAATGCCATGGGGTTGGTGCCAAGAATGCACACAGTTAGCCATTAGCGCCCAGCATGGTCATGGCCTTAATAAAGTTAATAGAGAACATGCTAATCATTGCACTGTATTACTTATACATAATAGACTCCGGATCATATTCCCTATAGGGAGAGAAATATCCAACTGGGAAAACAGGCTCTTAGGAAACCTGTACCAGCTATAAGCAGGATTTGGGGAAACTATTAGTTACTTAAAGCTAGCAGGATCCTTAAGCAGTTGAGCTATGTTACTGAACAATGTGGGTCATTCTTTCAACTCTGAGAGAGTCTCTGAAACTGTGCTGTGAGAGAAAATTAGGGTGGATGTATGATAGAGAACTTGAGGGTATTTGAGGGTATATTTCTATGAGTTCATATGAGTTCCTGATGTCATCGAAAAGAGTTGGGTTGCTGAGGCCAAAGAATTGCTATCCTGTCTATCTTCTTATTTCACCTTCAACATCATTTTGAGAGCTGAGGAAGTGCAACACATGGCACTTAGCATTCAACACTAGTTGAAGCATTTTTCCAGCGACCCACCTCATGGAAGTGGATGTCTCTTGTGGCGGCCATGTCGAAGCCCAGCTGCTGGCTCTCGTACTGCAGCAGGCGGGTCAGGAGGCTGTAGGCCGTCTTCACGTCGTTGCCCTGGAGGGCCGCTGTGCGGTTGGTGGCACTCCTCAGCATGCTGGCCATCCCCTTTGACCTCTCTCCATCCATCCTGGAGCTATTGAGGTGCAGCTCCTCATCCTGAAGGTCAGAGGTCAGGGAGAGATCAGACAGGTGTCTCAATGGTAAAGGAGGGTTTTAATCTTGGTTAAATCAAAGCATACCTCTTTTTTCAGCTGAGAGAAGGCGAGAGAGGTGCAGTTGAAGAGATCGGGAGGCAGCCAGCCGTTCTCGTCGCTGCAGTGGCGGATGGCCGTGCCTAATGGGGAGGAGCGAGGGTAAAACAGGGATCGAGGGGAGGAAAAAGAACGGAGGAGAGAAGGGTAAGGAAGAGGAGTTGTCACGACTTCCTCCGAAGCTGCCTCCTCGACTTGTTCGGGCAGGCTCCGGCGTTCGTCGTCACCGGCCTTCTAGCCCCTGCCGCTCCTCATCTCATCACTCCATTTGTTTTGTCTTGTTTATTACACACACCTGGTTCATATCCCCTCATTAGTACCTGTATAAGTGTTCCCTCTGCCCCCTTGTCTTTGTGTGTGATTGTTTATTGTGGAGGTTAGTTTAGCTCGGTGGAGCTCCTTGTATTTTGTTTTCGCCTGGATATTTCACCCGTGTGCCATGTTGTTTCCCAGTGCACCTGATTACACACTGGAGTGTTTGACGCATTGCTGCATACCACTGTGTTTTCGGAATAAACCCTTTTATTCTGTGATTTACCCTCCTGCGCTTGACTCCTACAAAATCACTCGACACAGGAGTAAACTGATCGTGAAGATTCTCTGTTGAACTCTATTGCCTCTTAGCTGTCACAGTGGGGAAATCAACAACAACAACCACAGCATAAACATTATAAAGTCTGGTAAAATTCCAGTAAAATGTATGTATTTCCAATACATTTTCACCTTCTAAAAAGGGTTGTTGTGCTTACCAGTGGATCCTTTGGGACACTTCATGGCAGCAGGTTGTCCAAACTGGGTCGTTGGCCACCAGATCCCTGCATCAAAGGCTTTGGGACAGCCCTCATACACAACTAGTGCAGTGATGAGAACAACCAAGAATAAACTATCTTAGATCAGAAATTGAATGAGTTAGTAAGATGCTATGAGAGCTTACAGGTCATAGATTGCCTTACCCATGCACCCGCTGGAGGTGACCTCAGCAAAGGGGTTGTCACAACGATTGCACTGGCGCCCGATCACGCCTGTCCTGCACTGGCACTGGCCCGTGTGGGGGTGGCAGGAGCGGGACATCGCGCCAAGCTGGAAACACTCACAAGGGTAGCAGGTGTCCCTTCCCCCGGGCCGGTAGTAGTTATCCTGAGGGCAGGAGAGAGCATAAACTGAGCATAGAACACAGGAGGGAATGGGGATAGCTAGCCCACATTGAACTTCGACAGAAAGGACTAAGTATGGTAAATACTTTTCAGTACCTTACAGCGACACTCCCCAGTGGTCTTGTTGCAGTCTCGGTAGAACCCTTTGCTGACATCACAGTTACATGGGCCACAGATAGAGTTCCCCCACCAGCCGCGAGCACAGGGTAGGTTGGCTCTGGAGAACAACAGAACAAGGTGTTAATCCACATAGAACCTAGTTTATCATAGCAAGCAAGGATGCATGAATGGAAACCGTGAGCAAATCATAAGGGACTTGAAATGCTAAGCCAATGCCAAAACTACTATAAAGCTGTTTGACACCAACCAATCCCAAAGCCAAGGGGCAACAACTTACAAAACCAGATTACTGCAGATGTTGATGGAAGGTGCTGAGTGGTACAGTAGGAATTAAGTGGGGTTACTGGGTTAAGTTTGGAAACAATGTGATCGTTTCAAGAACGTGGCACAAACATCAGCACCAACTCACGGTGAGTTAATAAACGGAAACTAAAAAAGCCCCAAACTAAAAACTAGTTAGATCAGTTTCTAGGGCTCTTGGTCCTCACTTGTTCTGGCAGTACTGCCCATAGGAGTTGTGGCCACACTGGCAGCTGTAGCCGTGGGGGGAGCTGGGCTGGCGGACGCAGGTGGACACATGCTGACAGGGGTTCAGGAGACATGCATCCACACAGTCACTCCCGAAGTATCCTGGGAAAAAATTATAACATGAATAGGTACATTTCCTGATGAAAATGTGTGTGCTTGCTGCAGCTTTCTAAAGGTATTTTTTAATGGTAGTGAAAAGTGTCTTGTCTGGGGGGCTTACCGGGGTGGCACACACAGGTGTATGAGCTCCAGTTGTCGGTGCAGCGGCTGTGCTCAGGGCAGGCGTTAGCGGTGCAGGGGTTAGCCACCTCACAACCCTCCTCCACCCGGATCTTCTGACCCTGACGCATGTTAACATTGGCCAGGTTGGTGGAAGTCTCGCCCATCCGCACGCCCTGGCAACACAGGAGAGGGAAGGACCATCAGTGTTGTATTGTCTTAGAATGATTTTGCTTTCCAAAAATGAGTATAATATAGACAAATGGTGTGTGTGTGTGTGAGGCTCACCTGCATGCAGCCCTTGAGTCCGTTCTGGACCGTCCCATCCTTCTTCATCAGGCCCCCCACAAACAGACTCCTCAGCCTGAGGCCTGGCAGCTCATTGCCTATCTCCACTGACCTCTGTGAAAGGCACCCACCCATAAAACACTATTACAGAGACCATGTGTATTTGTGTATCATATTACAATAGATAATACATACATTGCATTCACAAACACAAGTACAGAACAGAAAACTATAAACAAATACAGTGCTGCCAGTCAGTCAGCGAGTACCTGGAACATGCCGTAGTCCAGTGACACCAGGGCCATGTATTTGATGTCCTTTCCGTCTTTGATACTCTTCAGCTCCACCAGGACGTGGTGCCACTCCCCATCGTTCACCCTGACCTGAGGGAAGTCCAGCAGGGCCACCCGCTTCACCCCCAGGAACACCTGGAAACGCACATGTTTGCCGCTGATCTGGAGTCAGGGAGAGAGGGAAAAAACAGATGGAAGGCAAAGAACCAAGAGAAAGAGAGAGGATGGCAGGAGAGAAAGTGGGGGAAAAGAAAGAGAGAGAGAGAAAGAGAACATGAGGTTTAGTAATTTAATGCCAGCATATTAGCTTAACCTTATAATAGCATTAGCTTAGCCTTTACCCAGCTTTGATAACATGGAGGCCCTATGGGGGTGCCACAGGGTTCAATTCATGGGCCGACTCTTTTCTCTGTGTATATCAATGATGTCGCTCTTGCTGCTGGTGACTCTCAGATCCACCTCTACGCAGACGACACCATTTTGTATACATCTGGCCCTTCATTGGACACTGTGTTAACAAACCTCCAAACGAGCTTCAATGCCATACAACACTCCTTAAGTAGCCTCCAACTGCTCTTAAACACTAGTAAAACTAAATGCATGCTCTTCAATCGAACGCTGCTGGCACCCGCCCACCCGACTAGAATCACTACTCTCGACCGGTCTGACCTAGAGTATGTGGACAACTACAAATACCTAGGTGTCTGGTTAGACTGTAAACTCTCCTTCCAGACTCACATTAAGAATCTCCAATCCAAAGTTAGATCTAGAATCAGCTTCCTATTTCGTAACAAAGCCTCCTAATTTACAAAATAGCCTCCAACATTCTACTCAGCAAATTGGATGTAGTCTATCACAGTGCCATCCGTTTTGTCTCCAAAGCCTCATATACTACCCACCATTGTGACCAGTACGCTCTTGTTGGCTGGCCCTCACTACATATTCGTCGCCAAACCCACTGGCTCCAGGTCATCTATAAATCACTGCTAGGCAAATCCCTGTCTTATCTTAGCTCACTGGTCACCATAGCAACACCCACCCGTAGTATGCGCTCCAGCAGGGATATCTCACTGGTCATCCCCAAAGCCAACACCTCCTTTGGCCGCCATTCCTTCCAGTTCTCTGCTGCCAATGACTGGAACGAATTGCAAAAATCTCTGAAGCTGGAGACTCTTATCTCCCCTCACTAACTTTAAGCATCAGTTGTCAGAGCAGCTTACCGATCACTGCAGCTGTCCACAGCCCATCTAAAATTAGCCCACCCAACTACCTCATTCCTATATTGTTATTTATTTTTCTCATTTGCACCCCAGTATCTCTATTTGCACATAATCTCTTGCACATCTATTATTCCAGTGTTAATACTAATTGTAATTATTTTGCACTATAGCCTATTTATTGCCTTACCTCCATAACTTGCTACATTTGCACACACTGTATATATATTTTCTGTTGTATTTTTTGACTTTATGTTTTGTTTTACCCCATATGTAACTCTGCGTTGTTGTTTTTATCGCACTGCTTTGCTTTATCTTGGCCAGGTCGCAGTTGTAAATGAGAACTTGTTCTCAACTGGCTTACCTGGTTAAATAAAGGTTAAATTAAAATATATACTGTACTGCCCCGCTCCACTAACCAGGATGTGTATCTTGGAGAAGTCTCCAGCGTTGGCCTGCAGCAGGGTGCCAGAGCTCTGCCTGGTCCTGAACATCAGACCCATGTACCAGGGCACGGCGATGGTTACCTCTGGCTCGCGCCACCACACCAGGGCTTGGCCGTCAAAGTGCTGAGGGGATGGCATGACTGGAGGAAGGGAAACAGATAGGGAGACTTCAGTTGGAGAACCAAATAGATGAAAAGGAATGCAAGTACAATTTTACTTAATCACAAAATGACATTGATAATACCACATGAGAGGCCAGAATGACTAGCCCGTTCTAGGCCTTGTTCCAAACATCCGGATAAACCCTTACCACAAAGCCATTGCAACATATCCAGGGGCTATCATTGCCTTACAGGTAGCTATTCTGTGTGTTTGGTCTTGAAGAGGATGAGCTCAGAAGTAAAAGTTGTGGATAGAGTCTGTACTTGTTTATCGCTTCCCCTACAATCACAGCTGAGCCTTCTACAGGAAATGGTGATTAATACTTGTGCGTGTGTGTGCTTAAATGGGGATTAATATGGGTGTGATTCACAATCATGCTATTGTTCATTATATATACTGTACATACACACAAATCATCAGTATCACAGTCTCGTAAGAACATACATTTAGGTGGGATTGGGAAACACGCACACTCAGTAATTAGCTGTATTTCATAGCCTGAGACATATGGAGACAACCCCGCCAGGTCATGGGTTGCAACAGCGTTTACACCCACTGTGCCCTTTTTGAGGTACTTCTATGAATTAGTTCAAACTAAGCTTTCTGAAAACATAAAGCCATCAGAGATGTTATTTCCTTTTCCTGCTAACATGACTTGCGTTAGAAAAATGGAAAGCATTGGCTCACATTGTGCCTTATTGTCAACTGGTATGCCACTAGGGGAAGTGTTTTCTGATATACAATGTTCAGACCCCTTGACTTTTTCCACACTTTGTTAGGTCACAGCCTACACACAACACCCCACAATGACAAAGCAAAAACACGTTTTTTGAAATTTTGCTAATTTATTACAAATAAAAAACTGAAATATTACATTTGCATCAATATTCAGACCATTTACTTAGTACTTTGTTGAAGCACCTTTGGCAGCGATTACAGCCTCAAGTCTTCTTGAGTATGACGCTACAAGCTTGGCACACCTGTATTTGGGGAGTTTCTCCCATTCTTCTCTGCAGATCCTCTCAAGCTCTGTCAGGTTGGATGGGGAGCATCACTGCACAGCTATGTTCAGGTCTCTCCAGATGTCACGCCCTGGCTCTGGGAACTCTTATATGTTGAGCCAGGGTGTTAGTTTCTATGTTTTGTGTTCTATGTTCATGTTCTAGTTCATTTGTTTCTATGTTGGCCAGGGTGGTTCCCAATCAGAGGCAGCTGTGGCTTGTTGTCTCTGATTGGGCCATACTTAGGCAGCCTGTTTTGCACTTCATTTGTGGGATCTTGTTCCGGAGAGGTTTGTGTTTTGTTAACCTTAGGACTTCACGTATCGTTTTGTTGTTTTGTTATTGTTATAAAGTACTCATTAAAAGATGTATGCATATCACGCTGCGCCTTGGTCTGCTTCTTACGACGATCGTGACAGAAGATCCCACCAAATAAGGACCAAGCAGTGTGTCCAGGAGCAAACGCCGGAGGTAACGCTAGTGGATGTCCTCCTCGGTTGGGGGAAGATCACCGAGGAGGAGGCCGTCCGCTACCGGAGGGCGATGAGGGAGGATGCCCAGGCAGGAGAGGAGAAGCGGCGCCAACCGGGCCGTCGTCGGACAGGCGAGAGGCAACCCCAATAAAAAATGTTGGGGGGGCACACGGCATGGACGACGGGGCTGCTGGAGGCAGCTACAGGGCGAGTTTGTGGACTAGGAGAGAAGGCCACCAGGTTACGGGGGCCATTGGTCATTAGAGGGAAGGAGAGTGTAGAGGCACGGCGAGAGGTACTGGGGTGTGTTACCAGTCCGGTCCGTTCCTGATCCCCGCACAAGGCCAGTGGTGTGTGTTCCCAGTACGGTCCGGCCTGTTCCTGTCCCTCGCACCAAGCCAGTGGTGCGCGTCGCCAGCCCAGTCCAGCCTGTTCCTGCTCCCCGCACCAAGCCTGTGGTGCGCGTCGTCAGCCCGGTCCGGCCTGTTCCTGCTCCCCGCACCAAGCCAGTGGTGCGCGTCGCCAGCCCGGTCCGGCCTGTTCCTGCTCCCCGCACCAAGCCTGTGGTGCGCGTCGTCAGCCCGGTCCTGGCCCGTTCCTGCTCCCCGCACCAAGCCAGTGGTGCGCGTCGCCAGCCCGGTCCGGCCCGTTCCTGCTCCCCGCACCAAGCCAGTGGTGCGTGTCGTCAGCCCGGTCCGGCCCGTTCCTGCTCCCCGCACCAAGCCAGTGGTGCGCGTCGTCAGCCCGGTCCGGCCCATTCCTGCTCCCCGCACCAAGGCTGTGGTGCGCGTCGTCAGTCCGGCACAGCCCGTGCCTGTTTCACCGGTGCCTGGTCAGGTACCAGTCAGCTGCTCCACACCGGAGCCTAAGCAATCCGCTCCACCGATGTCCAGTCCAGCTCCAGCCAGCGGGACCAGACCAGGGGCGCTACGGGGGGTTAGTTAGAGGGTGGTGGTCACGCCCGGAGCCGGATCCGCCTCCGAGGTGGAATGCCCACCCGGCCCCTCCCCTGTTGGGTTTAGTTGGCGCGGTCGCAGTCCGGGGCTGGACTGCCTGAACAATCTGAGATAACAAAAGTATTTTCGGGCTACGCTAGCACGGAATCGCCCTATTGGCCCCACAAATTTGTCAACAAATGCATACTGTACCATGAACTACTCTCCTACCTCATAATACTGAGCTATTCAACTAGAGACATAAAAAAACAAGCCTTGCAACTGACAAGCACCACTTTACCATATGCTTCTGTGTAATAATCAGATCACCAATGAGATGTAGTAGTGGTCATGTGGTGTGGCCCTGGACCAAGTGTAAATAATTTAGAAATGCATCCTTCCTTCCTTTCTTCCGTCCTTGTTTCCTTGAGGATAGGTATTACTTATATCAATCAAGCCAATTGAGATCTGTGATTACCTCAAGCCGGCTGGGACAGAAGGATGCATTATTAAAGTATTCCAACAGGGCCAGGGTTAGGGTCAGTGTGTGTGTGGAATGTAGGAATGTCGAGATTGAGAGGAAACTTGGCCACATTGACCTCAATTGTCTGTTTCCTCACCGCTAGCCTTGTGGAGCGTGGCTGCAACATTTTGAATTATGAGACACAGAGTAAAACACATACTCACAGGGCACACACACACACTTACAGGGAACTCCCCAAAATATATCCAATACATGCACTTTTCCTAAAATCCTTTACCTTGTTCACAGTTCTTCCCTCCGTAGCCTAGGGGACAGTCACAGGAGTACGTACTCCACTTGTTCACACACATTCCTCCGTTCAGACACACACTTTTAGTGCAGAAGTCCTTCTTCGCTGTGCACCCTGAATACAGGCATATAATAATCAGAGGCATCAATAGAGACAAAAATATAAAAATAATATGTAGAAATATCAATATTAATATCACATATGTGAGTATTAGAACAGACCGGCGGCCGTGCCGTTGTTGGCCACAAAACTGGCCATGTCCACAGTCTTGCTGTCTATGGTTAGGTCTCTCATGCAGCCCACAAAGTTTCGGTTCCGGACAGGGAAATCCTCCGGCAGGTTGGGAACGCCACCCAGGAGTAGGGGACCGGTGAGGTCCAGGGACCTAGAGATGGACAACATAGAACAACTATCACCTGGGTGGATCGAGAGTTAAGGACATTTGGTATGCGCATGATTTCTATTTATTATTTGTATTAATTAATTTTTTTACCCCTTTCTCTCCCCAATTTCGTGATATCCAATTGGTAGTTACAGTCTTGTCCAATCGCTGCAACTCCCGTACGGACTCGGGAGAGGCGAAGGTCGAGAGCCATGCATCCTCCGAAACACGACCCTGCCAAGCCGCACTGCTTCTTGACACACTGCTTGCTTAACCTGGAAGCCAGCCACACCAATGTGTCGGAGGAAACACCGTACAACTGGCAACTGTGTCATCGTGCATGCGCCCGGCCCGCCACAGGAGTCGCTAGAGCGCGATGGGACAAGGACTTCCCAGCCGGTCAAACCCTCCACTAACCCAGGCGACGCTGGACCAATTGTGCGTCGCCTCATGGGTCTCCCGGTCGCGGCCGGCTGCGACACAGCCCGGGATAGAACCCGGATCTGTAGTGACACCTCAAGCACTGCAGTGCCTTAGACCGCTGTGCCACTCGGTAGGCCCGGTATGAGCATGATTTGAGTGACATTGCAGTGCAATTATGCTACAGCCACACTAGAACATTAAATTAACATAGTAACATTGTGGTCATATTGTAACAATATGCCGCCACACACAATAAACACACAAAACCAAAGGCACAGAGAGAGGCTGGTCAAGCCTCTTACAACTACTTAACCCTTGCATTAAAACCTTGATTTAGTGTGACCAGTGCTGGCGTAACTGACACTCAACACAAGTTGTGAAAAATGCACCACAAGCATATAATAAAATACCCTCTATTGTGAAGTCTTGTGATATACTAATAGCCAACAAACTTGTCCAAAGCAGGGGGCAGCTTTACATTTGAATAAGAAATATATTTAGATATGGGGATTTGCGTAAGAATAAACACGTTTAAGAATACTTATACTGATGTAGGTTTTATGTCTGCTGTATACGAAGATGTAACAAGGAAAACCAAATAGCAATTGCTGTCACAACTTTCTACTTGTAGTGCAGGGTTGCATGATGACTGAAAAGCTAAGGTTGGCCTGATAGGTGGCTGGATAAACCCTATGAGACTCTGCACTCACTTCTTCTGTCCTGTCTGCATACCCTGGGCGGCACAAGAGTAGTTCCCGATCTGGCCACCAAAGCGAATCGCCATGGCGATGTCGCAGTCGTCCACGGCAACGACTGCCACCTTCTCACCTGATGGTCCGTGAGGAAAGCCAAGGCGACCAATGTTGGGCTGGAAAGAGAAGGGAGGTCACATGACATTTAAGGAGACAGCAGCTACTAAACTAAGGTACGAATATCCAGTGAGAAAATTGGGGCTTTCAGCCGTACAATTTAGGAACCATACCGTAGTTCCTGGAAGGTGAATAGCTTCTCGATGACTAATGAAGGAGGTCATGGTCTGATAGACTGATATTTAGATTCATGTGCATCACAGAGGCACACAAGTTTCCTATTTTTTTAAAGCACATTACTATTTTTGGGTGCCTATTTGGGATAGCAGACCTGTGGGCTCAAACCCAGCGTGAAGAGGATGTTATTGCGCAGTGAAACTGAAGTACCGTTGATTGTTGGAGCCTAATTGAATTATGGGAGCAGGACACTGGTGGGTGAAGAGATACCATAGATTGAGGATGACATTTCGTGTCAAACCCACCCCCGGGACCACAGTTTCCACCAAGCGGCAACAACAATTGGAGACATTGTCAGCAACTGTTAGTGTTAACCCCACTGCAACTCATCTCACGGCTCTGACCTTGTTCAAGCTATTAACACCACATTCACATTTTCCACCTAGTTGTCCCCAAACGGCGTCATGTTCAGTGACCTTATTTCCCCTCACTGTGAATCTGTGCGTGCAGATCCAGAATTTGCATGGGGCCGATTCCGACTTAGGAATTTATGCCGTTACTACACACTTCTCAGTATTTGGTATTCAGACTGACCTTATTCAGTCACGTAACACGGTCTGCATGTGTGGCTACATTCAATCGCTGAAACCCTCCCACTTGCTGGCCAACAGGTTTTCTCATGGAGTTTTCATTCAATAGAGTTTTCAGTACATTTATCTCAAGCCATCCCTTTAAATACGGTGTACCTTTTAGTTTGACTTTTGTCGACAGACACTAGAATATATTGAGAGAATAGGTTCAGAATATTAGGGATCAATGAAAGAAAGCCATCTAAATATATGCATATTTGACTCTGTTTCAGCACCAATTGGTAGATTTAAAAATACTCTGATCTTGTAGATTATTTAGGGTTAGGAAATTATTTATGAATCATAATAAACAGGTTTGGAGAGCCTTTACTCAAGAAAGAAAGCGGGGCTTTGATTCATTCTGAAAATTGCCACAGTTCTTCAACCCATGTTAATGTTGGAAGATTAGTGTACATATAATTATAATAGGGAGAATAGTGTTCAATATTAGGCTATTTCCTCGTCTATTGACTGCACTAACCATGGCGCAAGTATTGCGCCACGCATCGGGTTCAAACTGTTACGGCTTGGTCTGCACTCAGCACCATAACGATATTATCAACTGTTACTAATGATTCTCAGCAACAACCACACGGCCGTGACGGCATTTACAGAGGAAGCAAATGAAGGTAAACTAAACAATGTAATTAAATGGAATGTAAGCTATACCAACTGAAGGGAACTAACAGTAAATTGGTAGTTGAATATGTGTGGTTTTGTTAGGTCTACTGACGGTCAATACTGATAGTGGCTAATATTTAACATGATAGAAAAAGGAAACAGAGGAAGTCGGGGTAGCCTGTAATTAAGACATTAGAGAGTGCTCATCCCTGCAAGTTAAAAGGCCGCACACTTTAAATTCTGCATAATGGCACAGCATTTCATTAACTTTACTGTGGGAAAGTTGATATGTTAATATGCTTCAGTTTGCTGCTAAATGACTGGTTTCACATTTGTCTCCAGCAATTATAAGGTAAAATATATCTAAAAAGTTTAATGTATATTTACAATTCTCTTATCCAAACGGATATTAATTTAACTAGCTCTTATCAATAGCTCTTATCAAGTTGTAAATTACAGTGCATGGAGAATGGTGCTATTTAAAAATAAAGTAGATGCTTTTTCCACTACTAATGGTTTCCTCGTGCATAAAAGTGGTGGAATTATTAGGGAATTAAATCAAGGTCAGAATACGGCCTATCTGTAGACACACCTTCAGTTATTCGATCTCCACCCCAAACGAATAGCGGGTGAATAGCATGCTATTCCCGTGCTTAAGTTCAAGGTCAGAATAGAGGAAGTGTAGAGAGAAAAGTGCATGGAAAGGGAATTACGTTATTTTACGCTTAACTCGGGTCGGAATCGGCTCCTATGTGAATACATCTGTATGAGTGTGTATCTGTCAGTGTGTGCATAGGTGTTTGTGTGTGTGTGTGTGTCTGGACCTTTGATCTCCTTCCTGTGGGGATGTGATAGTGCAGGGAGGATGACCCGTGGATGCCACTGCAGGTGTGACAACAGGAAGAGGTACAATATTGTGGGAGCACAGATAGTGGAACAGCTGTTTCTGCGTGTTGGTACGTTAGTACAAACCAAACTGAATGGCTCATTATAATGACTTCTGTCCCTAGTAGAAATATCAAGTAACCATGCGTGGAGAGTTGCCTGCACCAGTCCACACAGTTCAAAAACACTAATCACATCCCCATCACACCCACTTCCCCCAATGCATTCACATAGACTACAATCAATCTCTGAGACATTCTAGTCCTCCTGCGTGGGCCTGATCGATGACGGCATTCCAGCTGTCACAAGTCAAACGGGGGATGCCTATTAGGTGCTGAGAGTCGAGTTTCAGGCAACTGATTACTGTAGCAAGGATGACATTCAACAAAATGAGCATATCAGTTTCCCTGATAACATATTTGCCTGTCTGTCTGAGGTATGGGTGACTCTGGGAACAATAGAGGAATCAGATATCAATACTATGATCTGGTCCTGCTATCACTCTCCAGTCTGCGTTCATGGAAAACAGAGGACTTGCCACTGTTGGCCTTCCAAACCCCATTGAAATTATTCATGCTAAAGGCGTCCGCATGCTTCCCAGCCGAAACAGTTCAAAAGAGTTTGTGCATATGTACTACATTGCCAAAAGTATGTGGACACCTGCTCGTCGAACATCTCATTCCAAAATCATGGCCATTAATATAGAACTGGGTCGCCCGTTTGCTGCTATAACAGCATCCACTCTTCTGGGAAGGCTTTCCACTAGATGTTGGAACATTGATGCAGGGACTTGCTCCCATTCAGCCACAAGAGCATTAGTGAGGTCGAGTACTGACTTTGGGCGATTAGGCCTGGCTCGCAGTCTGTGTTCCAATTCATCCCAAAGGTGTTCGATGGGGTTGAGGTCAGGGCTCTGTGCAGGCCACTCAAGTTCTCGACAAACCATTTCTGTACGGACCTCGCTTTGTGCACGGGGGCATTGTCATGCTGAAACAACAAAGGGTCTTCCCCAAACTGTTGCCACAAAGTTGGAACTACAGAATTGTCTAGAATGACATTGTATGCTGTAGCGTTAAGATTTCCCTTCACTGGAACTAAGGGGCCTAGCCCGAACCATGAAAAACAGCACCAGACCATTATTCCTCCTCCACCAAACTTTACAGTTGGCACTATGCGTTGGGGCAGGTAGAGTTCTCCTGGCATCCGCCAAACCCAGATTCGTCCGTCGGACTGCCAGATGGTGAAGCGTGATTCATAACTCCAGAGAACGCGTTTCCACTGCTCCAGAGTCCAATGGCGGCAAGCTTTACACCACTCCAGCCGATGCTTGGCATTGCGCATGGTGATCTTATGCTTGTGTGCGGCTGCTCCGCCATGGAAACCCATTTCATGAGGCTTCCGATGAAAAGTTAATGTGCTGACGTTGCTTCCAGAGGCAGTTTGGAACTCAGTAGTGAGTGTTGCAACCGAGGACAGATTATTTTTATGCGCTACGCGCTTCAGAACTCTGCGGTCCCGTTCTGTGAGCTTGTGTGGCCTACCACTTCACGGCTGAGCCGTTGTTGCTCCTAGACATTTCCACGTCACAAAAACAGCACTTACAGTTGACCGGGGCAGCTCTACAAGGGCAGAAATTTGACGAGCTGACTTGTTGGAAAGGTGACATCCTATGACGGTGCCACGTTGAAAGTCACTGAGCTCTTCAGTAAGGCCATTCTACCGCCAATGTTTGTCTACGGAGATTGTGTGGCTGTGTGCTCGATTTTATACACATGTCAGCAACAGGTGTGGCTAAAATAGCCGAATCCACTTATTTGAAGGGGTGTCCACATACTTTTGTATATAGAGTGTAGCAAAACTACCAAAAGAGTATTACGAGATGCTCCTTGTTATTGCCATATTCAGGCCACATTCTATTCACATTATGCCACCATATCAACGTCAACAACAGGAACTCAGTGACACCTGTTCCCTTTCTTTTCCACACAATCTAAACACTCATAAATCCACAGAGATAAATCAAGTGTGTTCCAGGTTCCTGTTCTCTAGGAAAGCAAAGTACAAAACAACATGTGGCAAATGAGCTGAATGAGGAAATTCCAAACTGTGTGTGTATATGTAAGTGTGTGTGTGTGTGTGCACGTGCATGTGTCTGCATATGTGCACTCATGTGTGTGCTGGTAACACAGATGATGCATGCCAAGGCAGTGAAGGCCAGGATGAACTACAGTCATGGTCAAAAGTTTTGAGAATTACACAAATGTTAATTTTCACAAAGTCTGCTGCCTCAGTTTTTATGATGGCAATTTACATATACTCCAGAATGTTATGAAGAGTGATCAGATGAATTGCAAAGTCCCTCTTTGCCATGAAAATAAACTTAATCCCAAAAAAACATTTCCACTGCATTTCAGCCCTGCCACAAAAGGACCAGCTGACAACATGTCAGTGATTTTCTCGTTAACACAGGTGAGAGTGTTGACGAGGACAAGGCTGGAGATCACTTTGTCATGCTGATTGAGTTAGAATAACAGACAGGAAGCTTTAAAAGGAGGGTGGTGCTTGAAATCATTGTTCTTCCTCTGTTAACCATGGTTAACTGCAAGGAAACACGGGCCATCATCATTGCTTTGCACAAAAAGGGCTTCACAGGCAAGGATATTGCTGCTAGTAAGATTGCACCTAAATCAACCATTTATCGGATCATCAAGAACTTCAAGGAGAGAGGTTAAATTGTTATGTAGAAG